GCCGCGGGAGGGGCCGTAAGGGGCGTAAGGGGTCGCGCGAGGGGCCGTAAGGGACGGCGCGAGGGGCCGTAAGGGGCCGCTAAGGGCGGCGCGAGGGGCCGACGGGCGGCGTGAGGGGCCGTAAGGGGCCGTAAGGGCGGCGCGAGGGGCCGTAAGGGTGGCACGAGGGGCCGTAAGGGCGGCGCAGGGGGCCGTGAGAGGGGCCGCTAAGGGCGACGCGAAGGGACCGTGAGGGGCCGTGAGAGGGCGCGACGGTAGGGAGGGCACACAGGGCGCGACTCGGGCAGGAGCAAAGCGCGCTCCGGGCAGGAAAAAAAAAGATTCGTGGTGGGCCCTAGGAAGTGTTCCCACTAGGGAACCTGCTCGATACCATGAGAAGAAACGAGGAATGAAATGACTAAAGGAAAGTTGGGTACAAAAGCAAACCCTAGAAAACTGTACCCCATATGTGCTACCCCACTATAGCCTACAGTAGCTATGTCATATAAGTCTGACATGGATCAGGTGTGAAGTTGGGTCCTACGCATTCTGCTTCGTCGGTGTTGACTCCTGCAGGTGTAACGTAACCGTTGTCGGCGAAGTGGTAATAGACTTCGGCGTTGATGCTTTCGCGAGGGTTTTCGTCGTCCATTGGGACGTCGACGGAACAGTAGGGAAGAGGTCCGGCTTCCTCCGAAGCTCCGTCCACATTCTGCTCGTCCCAGTCAGCTTCGTTCGCTGCCAAAGCGAAGGCTCGGTCACCATGAAATCCACCTGTGGGGTCTCGGTCTTCTTCCAGGTTGGCAAGGTATGTTGAGAGGGTGAGTCGTTCGTAGAAAATCACGTCACGTGCTGCTACTGTTTCCTTTGAGTGGACGTAGAAAATCTTCCATGTGTTGTAATGTTTTTCGATGCTTAGGTGTACTCCCCACTGTGCACGTTGAGAAAATCGGCCAGCTCGTGCAGCTGGGAGTCGGTACTGTACCATGCAGCCAAACACTCCCAACATTTTTCTGCTGCCCGAATTTCCTGTCCACAGCAGGTGTGGTGATGTGTTGTTCGGGAGAGATGATGACGAGAGCAAGTTGTGCAGCATGACAGCGTGGTCCATCGCCTCGGGCCACTGGTGGTTGGGTAGCCGCATGCCACGCAACAGTTTGCGCATGGTGTTCTGAAGAGTCCTGTTCATTCTTTCTGCCACGCCTTGCTGTTGATGGGTGTAGGGAAGGGAGATGAGCCTTTTGATGCCTCTTTCCGCTAGGTAGTCCTTGAATTTCTGTGACTGATATTCCCCTCCCCCGTCTGACTGGAAACTTTTCAGCTTCACTCCTGATTCTCGTTCTGCTGCTGGAAGCCAAGCGACGAAAGCGTCGAGGGCCATGTCGCGACTCGGGAGGTTGAAGTGCCAGACGTATCGTGTGGCGGCGTCGATGAACGTGATGACGTAGTTATAGGCTCCTTGCCCGGGTTCACGATTGTACAGTATGTCGCTGTACACCTTCTCCAGTGGTGCGTACGCTGGTGCGCTTGGGTTGTGGTGAGAGACGAACGGCTGATGCGATAAGTCGGCTTCGGGGCAGGTAAAACACGTTCCGCGGACTCGTTGAAGTTCTCTGCCGTCGAGTAGAAGTAGTGAATCTTTATCAAGGATGCCTGCTCGGATCGTGTTGTTTAACGTTGTGTTTTTCGGGTGTCCCATTCTTGCGTGCCAGATGTCTTCGCCAGCGCGATGTCCGGGTGAGCGCCTGTACAGGTCGGAGTTGGGATAAAAACCGGCGGTGAAGTTGGCGCTTCTGTGGACTTATCGTGGTGTGGGAGTTAACTGCTGAGCACGAGTCGGTGCAGTATCGTCGAGTGGAGCTGGTGCCGTTGATGGTGTCGTAGTCGGTGTTGCCTCTACTGCTGCTGGTGTTGTCTCTGCTGCTGACAGTGTTGTCTCTGCTGCTGCCGATGTTGTCTCTGCTGCTGCCGGTATTGTCTCTGCTGCTGCCAATGTTTGTTGGATTGTTGCTAACGCTCTTGTTCGTTCTACTTCAGGTATAGTGTGCGAGTATCAGAAGCCTCCAGGACTGAAGTCGGGGTCGAGATCTGGCGGGTGTGTCCAGGAGGCGAAATTGACAATGGCATCGCTGTCGGCGGTGCCTTGGTCTGGAACGAAGTCAAGAACGAAGACGTTCTTCTTCAGGACCGCTTTGCCGATGTAGAGTCCACCTCTCCCGTGGTACAGCTTGAACTCCTGAGTGATGCTGTCTGCTTCAAGATGAATTCCTTTCGCCATCAGTTGACTGACGCTAAGTAAGTTGTAGCCGAGTCCTTCTGCAATTAAGACTTTCGACATTTGCATAATAACGTTAGTCTCTCGTGACTGAAGTTGAACTATCCCTTGTCTTCGTGTGCGCAGGTTCTGGTTGTTGGCGACGGTGATGACGACTTCACGCTGCAGTTGATGTTCCCGTTGAACGAAGTGACCTGAGGAGCACATGTGTTGTCCGCAGCAGCTTTCCAAGAACCAGGTGCCTTTCCTGGACGGCTCGCTCTTGGCGATGGCTGTGTACGTCGGGTTCGGTTCCAAAGACTCGCGACGAGGGGTCCTTTCGTCGAGTTGTTCTTCCGGTGAGTAGTGGGGCGGTGACTCGGTGATGCAGGAGTGTGTCAATCTCGCCATACAGCTGACGATGTTTCTTGTTCCTTGTGCAGATTGCGTCGTCGATGTCGTTGAAGACTGCCTTTGACTGGTGGAGTGCGCCTGTGTGGAGGCCACTTGACTGCTTGAGGGCCGAAGTTGACATTGCGGTGGCGTTGACTGCAGCTGATTTGGGCAGTGTGTGCAAGGATGTCCTGACGTCTTGTAAAGGTGGCAGAACGGTGGTACGTGCCGTTGTGGTTGATGCTTATTCTGTCGGATGTTGTTGTTGTTGTACCGTCGTTGAGTGTGAAAAGCGAACTCAGGTACTAACGTTATTCGGCGTGATTTTCCGCGTGCACGCCCATGTCTTGCTGCTCGGCGTGAATTTCGGCTCAAAGTGCTGCTTCAGAGATCTTCCCGTGAGCTCGGAGAAGGGCTCGGGTGGAGCGCCAATGGGGACCAAGTCCAGCAATGATGACAGTGACGAAGGCTTCTTCAGATATCGCTCCTCCGCATCGAAGGAGTCTGTCGCGCAGTCCGCGACAACAGCTGATATACGCCATCCCTTTTTCACCAGGTTTCATTTCCACTGTTGTCAGCTGTGCCATTAACCGGCTCTGATTGACGCTGTCTGTTGCTTGATACAGGTTCTTCAAGTGGTTGTACGCGAGCTCGGCATAGTTGTCGTATCCCCGATAAGACCGGATCTTCTGCTGTTCGTTTGGTGTTATGTTGCGTAACAGAATCGTGTACGCCATCAGCGACTGATACGTATATTGCTGCTTGTCATACTGCGTTCCGTGCGTTGGGTATGGCAGGGAACCGTCGAAGAATCCGAGGACTTGCGCGCCTTCCATCATCAGCTCGAACTCGAATGACCAGGTATAGAAGTCTTTCCTGTCGAATGGTCTTGATGTCTGCAGCTTTAAGACGTGTGCAAACTGCGATTGAACCTGAAGTGCGTCCAGTGTCTTTTCTTGTCAAGGTGAAGGCTGCTGATGCGGCATGAAGCTAATGGAGCCGCGTTGATGCTCGTACGGAGCGAATGTGGGTTGCTGCTGATTTCCGCGCGCGTAGGATGAGCCATCAAGACTCATGGGCGTGACACCGTCGTTGTTGTCGCTGTTGTTTGACTGCGCAGGTGCTGTTTGCTGGTGCTGTTCGTAGAAGGACATGAAGGAGAAGAACTTCTCCATCATGTTTGGGTCGAAGCCGGTCGTTTGGTTCGCAGGAGTTTCTGTGGACTCAGCAGCTGGTCTTGTTACCGTGCCTCCCTCTGTCTGTAGGCCAGAGGCTGGAGGTGGAGTAGGAGTAGTGCCGGGAGAGCCGTTAGAGGAGCTTCTCTCCTTTTGTGTTGCCATGTCTTCTGATATTGTAGGAGTTGGAACGAGGTGGGGTTTTGCCTTGTCTGCTCTCATACCATGTTGGGCTGAGAAAAGCCCTTAGGATCGTTCAAGGCTAAGACTCCAATAAGTATATTGTATTGCGGAAGCGTTTAGTGATAAATTGTTGAACCACCTTGCGTTGGTGTGTGAGGGCAAGATAGATTGATTATGATGAAATAATACAAGCTTTTATAAGATTACAAGGAATATGAAAGGATGCAATGATTGTTTTACTGTTGTTGTTGCGGTTCGATACAGTGACGACTCGGGCAACTGCTCAATACCGAGTCAGTTGTTTGTCCTTGCTGTCGCGCTGTATTTGTCGAGTCAAAGGTCGCTGACCTTTGGCCTTCGCGTAACCTCCAGCTGTTACTTTTCTGTCAACCTCTTCAGTTGACTCGCCATTGCTGCGCTGTAGTTCACCTCGTTAACAGTCTGATGTTACGACACATAAGAAGCGTTGATTACTTGTTTCCAACACGGGGCGGGGCAGGGCATGGCCTGCTGAGGAACGGGACGGGGCAGGGCACGGCCTGCTAAGGAACGGGACAAGGCTGGCTAGGCTAGGGAACGGGGTGGGGCGGGCTAGGCTAGGCTCGGAACGTTACCTACTCGTGATACGGTACCATCTCAAAGTTAGAACAGTGAAATGTATGTGACTAACAAGATGGGAGATACAAACACTAACCCTAGAAAGTCTTGTACTCTCTACAGCCTTACTGACCAGGGCCCGTGCTAGGTTTTGGGGCACCCTGAGCCCTCAGGGCACTTTTCTAGAATCTTAAAAAATGCCCTGATTTCTCAGGGCAAATCTTCAGAGCCTTCCTGATTGGTCAGGGCTTTTGCAGCAACTAATCCTGACCTGTCAGGGCAAAAATAATGGTGTTCAGGGTTCTGATTTTAGCACACACAGACCAGACCAGACTCTGTTTAGCATAGCAGAGCAGCCGCAGCGCTCCAGCGCACATATGGTTGGTGTTTTACTGGGCAATTAACTCCTGCACCACCTCTTAGCCCTCCTCCTCCTCATCATCATCTTCGCTGCTGCTACTAAACCCACTGTCGCTGCTGCTGCCGCTGCCATGTTCAGTATCTGCTTCTTGTCCGTCCTCCAAGCCGTTCCCCTTCCCCGCCTTCCTCTGCTGCTCCCTTCTCTTAATAGGCCTCCTCTTCTTGCTGCTGCGCCACAAATCCACAACTTTGCCCCATTCCATGTCATACTCAGTTAGGCTCAGGCACATCAAGTCACTGAGCCTGGCATCACAGAGGCTGGTCCTCTGCCAGGACTTAATCACGTTCTGGCGGCTAAAGCCGCGCTCACACTCAACGGTGCTGAGCGGCAGGACAGCCACCGCTGTCCAGAGGCGGACGAGGTTGGGGTAGCTCCGCTCCCAGTCCTTCGTTCGCAGCATGGCCGCCAGTCCGCGTTGAAATGTGCGCTCGCCTTTGGGAGCGCCAGCCAGAACAGGGACAAAAGTCCTCAGTTCCTTCTTGGCTGCACGTTTGTCCACACCTGCCACGCAAAACACACATAACAGTGAAAGGAGGGAGGGGCAGACCAAGTCAGATTGTTAGATACATACATAGCAGGGACAGAAATTGGGAGATTGTGGACATAGGACACAACGAGTAGGAACAGAACACTAGTGCTTACCCGGGAGAATGTCTGCGCGCTCGCGGGCATGGAACAAGTTGACGAGAGTCTCGAGGTGCTCGCGGCACTCCTCAGCGCGTCCCTCCTTGTCTTCAGGGTACGTGTCTGGCATGAAAAGCCGGACACCGTTCAGGCTGTCGAGATCCCCCAGCCTCTTCTGGAGGTGGGTGAGCGTCGAATTGGCGTGGCGGCAGCAGACGTCGAGGCATGACTGCAAGTCATCCGGGGTCTTGCTGTAGCCCGTCAATGCCTCCTCGTGCAGGTCGAAGCTATGTTGTCGCTTCTCCCCCTCCTTGTCCACACCTGCCACTGTGATTTTCGGGGACTTTTTGAGCCTGGCTAGGAAGGCCCCGAGATGTAGCTGCGGGCCGCCACCAAAGTCATCGCCGCTGCACTCGATGTAGCGCGTACGGATGGTGATCAGGGTGCGGCGCACGGTCGACTGCACCGAAGTCATGTCGACCTGCAACATGACAAGGTACAGTTTCAACAAGGACCATACAAACAACAATGCTACGAGTCTCGGGCTTACAACGGCTACTCACCTCCCGCCTTTGAAACTCAAGGTTGAGGCTGTTGAGGAGCTCTAGCATGTCGGCGAGGTAGTGAAGATACACATTGAACTTCACTGAAGTCACAATGTGGTAGAAGTCGTCTTCCCACTCCCACAGGAGCACGATGACGGCAGGGAGCACACGCACCAAGCGCGCGATGGCATCGCCGCGGCTCAGCCAACGAACGGAGTGGATTCCCTGCAGTTCCAGGTTCGTCTTGCAGAACACCTCCTGCAGCTCTTGGAAGTCATTGTGGGAGGGCTGCGACCTTCCTAGGTATTCCGCGAGCTCCTTCAGCACATAGTCGATGAGGCCGAGATCAGGGACTGCAGTGGCGGCGTCCTTGGCGGCCAGCGCCTCTCTTCACGACATGATGTGGGCACGAGAGAAGGGGAGGTAAGGTTTAAGAGAGGGAAAGGGGGGGGAATGGCATGAGCTTTAGATCATGCGAGCGCCAGCCTGCCTTACATTCGCTGCTGCAACGTGATGGGCATGTAGATGCAACACACATAGGCAAGAGGTATTACACACCGATGTGCAACGCAATGGCTGGAGAAGAGGTGCGGGACCATTACACGCAGCCGAGCCACCAGGCCGTTGGTGCAACCCATCATCGCACCTGCGCCATCCGTGCTAATCCCGGCCACCCTGCTCCTGTCGATTCCAAGTGAGTCAAGGAGGGTCAGCAGGAGGGAAAGCAACGAAGCGCCATCGCATTTCTCCACCGTCAGTAGACCGACGAACTCCGTGACTACACGAGAGTCACGGAGAAACGTGGCAAACACGATCTGGTGTTTGCCATGCACACGATCTGTACTCTCGTCACAGGTTAGTCCGATGAATGGACTAGACTCCAACCAGACTTGCTGACCTGCACGGAGATAGGCTGCAGTGCATGCGACGAGCTCTGCAAACCCATATATGCATCCAAGGAAAGAAGGAACTGAGGGTTAGCAACAGTGGGATAGTTGTGATCCACCTCCATACAAAGTTTCTCGGGTATAGCAGCTATTGTTGAATATGGCTCACCTGGTGTAATAAGCACCGTAGCCATTCTTGGGGAAGCCTGGTGTCTGTCGCTCTGCAAGGTGCCGAACCAATTGAACCCACATCTCAATCGGTGCGTCACATTTGCAGATGAACAGCAGGGTCTGCAGCAGAGCGATGACCCTTACACGCTGGGTGTCTCCAGCCTTCGGGCAGTCGATGATGCGCTGCTGCTTCTCAGCCGCCTTGTCCGCCTGGGCCTGTCTCTTGATGGACCGTTTGTGCTTCCTGGAGCTTTGATGCGTGCGGAACGCCTGTGTTTGGACATCGACGGCACCTTCGCCAGCTGCGCCGTAGTTTGTGCCGTGCCCTGCGTGCTTGATACACAAAGTGCACCTCACTGATGGGAAACCGTAAGATGTTTGACAAAGCACGAGCCACGGCAAATCAGTTGACCACTCCTGTTTGTACTTCATAAGAGCCTGCTGGTATTTATCCTCTGCCTCATCGCGCAGTTCCTCGGTGGACGAAGTTGCTGCAGGAACGGCCGATGGTCCTGGTAAAGCTGGCGCTAAGCGGACACGAGCGGTGGGTTCCGTGGGACTATCGCGAGAGAACGACAAGCGCGACTGTTTGTGCTTGGTCGCTCTTAACTTAGCAGTAGCGGCAGGGCCGATGCGTGTCGCACCAGGTGGTACAATGTTGGTGCCGTTTGTACTAGCATAGGCTGGTGTGACTGCGGGAGTACGAGATGATCCAGCTGCAGGTGAACCTGTTGGTAAGGCGGACACAACTCTAACTGGACGCAAAAAATATAATCCGGTTAGACCCCGTGATGCTGGCGCCGCGCCATCGTCCTCGTTTGCCATCATCCAGCCGAACTTCACTACTAGTGCTGCTGCTACTCTAACAGCAACACTGGAATGGAAGGGTGTTGGATGGAGCGCTACTGAACGTCAGCGTGAGAAACCCAGCTAGAGCTAGCCAGGCACAGGACGAGTTGCCTTGGCGGTGGGTGAAGGGTTTGCCTTGGCTGGTGTAGCGGGGGATCGGAACAGAACTGTCAAGGGGAAGAGGTCGTGCGAAGGCGGGAAACATACACGGGGGAAAATTTCAACGGTGACAAAAATCCTCGGGGAAAAAATTCCCCCCGAAACGGAACCCCCCCCCCCCCCCCCCCCCTCCCCCTCCCCCCCCCCAAAATCCGCGTCAGGGCAGGCCTCGACATTCATCCTGACGCTACAGGGTGGAACACTACGGCCATCCTGAATGTTCAGGTCATTTCAGATAAGAACATCCTGTGACCTCAGGGTTGAAATTGAAACTATTCTGAAATGACAGGGTAAATACAGAACTGCATCCTGAATTCAGGGTAATCAGGATGTTTTGCCCTGATAACGTGGGCCCTGTTACTGACTATAGGCTATCAAGATAATGTACAGCATTTGACAGATGACACCTGCCCAGCCAGATTCTACTCAGGCAATAAATGCCCGTCGAGCTACACCACAAACTCGCGACTGTCCTCTGAACCCAGCATTGCCAGCCGTGTGCCCAGTGCACCGCCACTGCCCTGCCCATCCCATATGCCCGTGCCACTCCCCCAGAACAGCCCGCTCCATCTCCCTATGCTCTGCCCCCCACCCTCTCGTCTCTCTCCGCTGTCCCCCTCTCTGCTATCTAGCCTTTCTCCTGTCCACTCCCCTTGCAGCAGGGAGGCTCGAAGGGGCTTGAGGGTTCGGAGGGCCGCAGAGGGAGTGGGGCGGGAGGAGGGAGAAGGGGAGGTGCAGGAGAGGGCGAGGAGGAAGAGGGGGAGGAGGAGGGAGTGAGGGGGTGGAGGGTGTGGGAGGAGGGGGTCGAGGAGAGGAGAGACGTTGCCGGCTGTCACATGCTGCTGGGCCTGAGGGTTGGGAGGACGGGGAGAGGGAGATGTGTGCAGGGGAAGAAGGGAAGGGGAAGGTGAGAAGGAGGATGAATAGGAAGAGAGCGGGAGGAGACAAGGGGGATGGAGGGGCAGGGCACTGTGAGCTTGAGACTTAGAGGTTTCCAATGTGAGTTGTGTGCTCTGATGCCTGGCTGGCTTGCAAGGGGCGAGTGCATGGTCAATGCACATTGCGCACGCACCATCATCACAACTACACCATGCTACGCTACGCCATGCCATGCCATGCCACGCCATGCCATGTCATGCCACTATGCCACGCCACACTATGCCATGCCAGCCACACCATGCCAGCCCATTCCCTGCCACGCCACGCGACACCACACCATACCATGCCATGAGCAGCAGGGCTGCACGCACCCAGTCAGAGATGTGGACGCGCTGCCCATCCACATGCTTGTAGGGAGCATCCCAACCCGTGAGCAGCTGCAGCAGCAGCACCCCCACGCTGGCAAGGACAGACCGGAGGAAAAGGGGCAGAGGGAGGGCGAAAGGGTGAGGTAGGATGAGATGAGATAAGCAGCTGTTGCAGCAGCACTCCCACACTGGCAATTGCAGAGAGAGTGGAGAGGGCAAGATGATGGTGAAACATGTGGGCCCCACCTGAACATGTGGGCCCCACCTGAACATGTGGGCCCCACCTGAACATGTGGGGCCCAACTAAGCATGTGGTCCCACCTGAGCATGTGCGCCTCACCTGAACATGTCTGACATGGCAGAAGCAATGTCAGAGTGCAGCACAGCGGGATCCACATGCCCCTCCGTGCACCGCAACACTCTCCGCTGCTTCAACCCTCCACTGCCACTGCTGCTGCTGCTGGTGCTGCTGCCACTCCTCTTGCTCTCGCTCGAACTCCCACTGTGGCCACTCTTGCCACTGCTGCCAGCGCTGCCACTGCCGCCAGCTTCGCCACTGCTGCCACCCTTGCTGCCTCCACCTTCCCCACTCCCGCTCGTCCAGGAACCTTCCTGATGCCCGCCCATGTCCACGTGCACGCGCTGCCCCATGCGCACCGCACTCCAGTCGCCCACCCGCGCCTGGCAGGGGAGGGTGTGGAAGAGGGGAGTGAGAGAGGTGAGGATTGTGCAGGCAGTCATGGATGCGGCATGATGCTATCTTGGCAGCGATTGAGAGCAAGATAGAGTGGGTTGAGGGCAGACATGATGAAATGCCAAATCAGATTTTACTCGACCGTTGTCTCGAGTGAGACACGAGTCGAGTCGACTAAAACTCGACCCAAGTTGGAATGTAAGCTTGGCGGGAGAAAGCGTATCGCATTTATAGGTTTGCAATACGCTTGGAATGCGCTCAGGATGCCGTGAGGAGGGATAAGATGGAGAGACACCTTAGAGGAGAGTAGTCCTAGGCTAAGCCGATTTCATCAATTTTACCTCCCCCCCACTTGAAGGGTGCATCGAAGTCGATTCGAGGGACAAATTAAAATGATTCAACCCAACCATGTCTTCTTGTTAGAATCCGTGAGAAAAGATAAACGATGTTTCGAGTAAGGAGCCAAGAGCCTCTATAGTGCGGAGAGTCACTTGACAACGGAAGTGAGCTAGACTACGGGGGTTGGCACGAACTACTAGGAGTGATCGTTGTTTTGCTTAGTTCCTTAGTGCTTGCTCATATACGGGAGAAATCGGCAAGAGTTTCAAGAGGCAAAGTTGGAATTACAGAATGATTGAACAAGCAATGACAACAATGACTACATCAGGCACCTAGCAACTTTGCAGCTAGCCTGGTCGACCGCCTGCCAGTGTTGCGTAGAGGAGCCGCGCCAGCACTGCAGAAGAGCGACCTGCCAACACTGCAGGTCGACGGCGTGCCAACGCTTCAGCAAAGTGGCTGTCCAGCGTTGCCCCGTAGAAGACAACAGTGCGCACGCTCGCAGATGCGCGCAGACGATTGGCCCGACTCGCATCGTTGTGCATCCGTCGGCTGTTGCCTGCGCCTGACGAGCCACATCGACTTCAGAATACCAACCCGAAGTTGCCTTCGCCACCGCGACCTCGACGACGTTCGCGTGCCTCCGCGAAACTCGTCGAGCAGGTTACCTGGTCGACCTGGACACCACCAGGTGCTCTGGTCGACCACCAAGCACCTCTGGTCGACCACCGGGTCCCTCTGGTCGACCACTAGGTCCCTCTGGTCGACCACCAGGTGCCCCTGGTCGACCACAGCTCCCGTCGAGATACCCCCTGGTCGACGGACCCCTTCCATCGACCAGAACTGTCAGCGGTTGTCGTCGAGCTCCCCTCGTCGACCGCTGCTCACTTGTCAAGTCGACGGACTGCTCCGTCGACCTCCCGGTCGAAATGCAGGTCGACGGACTGCTCCGTCGACCTCCCGGTCGAACTGCAGGTCGACGGACTGCTCCATTGACCTCCCGGTTGAACTGCACCTCCTGGTCGACGGCCCACCCGTCGCCCAGACCAGTCAGTTGCAGCTGTCGAGCTCCCTGGTCGAGAGAAACACCACAGCGGTCCCCTGCAGCTCGACGAAGCCTGTCGAGCAGCTCTCCCACTGTGAACGGTCGGCTGCTTCTCCCGTACATCCGACCAAGCCGTCGGCGCTGCCCAAGCGAGGGCGGGGCCAACACTCCACTCCCGTTAACATATAGTACTTGCTCTATAGTAAGGAGCCAAGAGCCAAGATGCTATTTACTTGCTCTATAAATGAGCAAGAGGAGCGAAAGGGAAGGTTACCCTGTTGGCCGCTAGGCTGGCCAATGGGTGAGCTTGCTTGTAGCCCACGCAACCATAAATGCGAATTGGTTGGGATTGGTGCAGCTAAGGACCAAAAGTTAGCAAATGCCAACCAAGGACCAAGCTTCAGGACCAATCTTCACCAACCATAAGTTGCGGTTGGTGAATACACTCAACAACCCACCAATATATGAAATTGCTACATGTCAAAATCTAGCCTATGGATGTAGAAAAATAAGAGATTACGACAGAATCTGCACTCGAAACTTTCCCAAGCCAAGTAATAAAAATTCGACTCAAGTGTTTACTGGATTCGAATGAACAAGTTTAGTTGAGAGGCAAGGCACCCATCTCCCAAGCAGCAGCAACAATCACCTCCCAATCACTTGGAGCAGGGCACACACTCACCTCCCAGGCAACAGTGAGCAGCACATTGGAGGGCTTGAGGTCGCCGTGCACCCACCCGTGGCTCTGCACCGCCTTGAGAGTTTTTAAGACGTCTCAAAAACTCTCTTTTATCACGTCACTCACCTCCCAGGCAACAGTGAGCAGCACGTTGGAGGGCTTGAGGTCGCCGTGCACCCGCCCGTGGCTCTGCACCGCCTTGAGCGCCCTCAGCACCCCCACCGTGATGCCCACCCGCTGCCGCAGGGACAAGGGGCTGCTGCCCGCCTGCGCGGCTGATTTGGGAGTCATGACATGACGGAGGTGAGGTGTGGGGATGGGTTGGACATGGTTCAATGGGTGGACTCAAAACTTGAGCGCCCTCAGCACTCCCACCGTGACGCCCACCCGCTGCCGCAGCGACAAGGGGCTACTGCCCGCCTGCGCGGCTGATTTGGGAGTCATGACATGACGGAGGTGAGGTGTGGGGATGGGTTGGACATGGTTCATTGGGTGGACTCAAAACTTGAGCGCCCTCAGCACTCCCACCGTGACGCCCACCCGTTGCCGCAGCGACAAGGGGCTGCTGCCCACTAGTGTGGCTGATGCACGAAGCAGGTGAGGTGTGGGGATGGGATGGACACGGTGCAAGAGGGTTGGCAGTGGGCAATGGGGAGTTCGCCCTGTGGGGTCAACAAAACAAGGGCAAGAGTTCACAAGGAAAGGAAGATTGTCGCAAGGAAACGAAGAGGGTCGCAAGGAAAGGAAGAGGGTCGCAAGGAAAGAAAGAGGGTCAAGAAGAACGGAAGAGGGTCACAAGAGAAGCAAGATGGTCACAAGGGAAGGAAGAGGGTCCACTCTTGTGTCCACACACTGCTGCAGCGATAATGGGGCTTGAGGGACTGAGATGATTTGGGAGGAAAGGAAGGTGGGGCGCGCGAGGGATTACCTCGGTAAGGGAAAAACAAGGAAGGCGAAAAGAGGTGGTTGCGAGGGGCAGGCGTGGGATGGGATGTGAGAGGAGAGGAGAGGAGATGGGAGGAGACGAGAAGTGAGGAGAAGCGAGGAGTGGCGAGGTGAGGAGAGGAGAGGAGGGAAGAGGAGAGGAGAGGAGAGGAGAGGAGAGGAGAGTGAGCAGAGGAGAGAGAGGAGAGGAGAGGAGAGGAGAGGAAAGGAGAGAGACGAGAGGAGAGAGGAGAGGAGAAAAGAGGAGAGGAGAGGAGAGGAGAGGAGATGAGGGAGAGGAGGGGAGAGGAGAGGAGTGGAGAGGAGTGGGAGGTGGAGGAGGACAGGTGGTGAGTGAATGGCATGGCGGTCCACTGTGAGCGCACCTGCCTGCAGCACTGCCTGCAAGCTGCCCCTCTCCATCCACTCATACACCAACACCTGCCCCTCCTCTCCCCCCTCCTGCCCGCCCTTCTCCTCTCCCTCCTCCTGCCTGCTCCCCTCCTCTCCCCTCTCCTTCCCACCCCCCTTCGCTCCCCTTTCCTGCCTGCCCCTTTCCTCTCCCCGCGCCCGCCCCTCCTGCATACCCCCCTCCCCTCCCCCCTCCCGCACTCCCCTCTGCCCTGCCTCTGGCAGCCCCTCGATGCCCCCCCCAGCCTGCCAGCTGCACCACCCCACGAGGCGGAGCACGTTGGGGTGCCCCACCCGCGCCAAGGCCAGCGCGTGTGCCTCCAGTGACTCCCACGGCGGCCCCCCTCTCATGCGCTTCACTGCCCACACGCCCCCCCGCCCCCGCGCCCTCCCCCTCCCTGCACGCATCCCCTGCTTCCTCTGCAACGCGCCCCCCTCCTCTCCCCCTTCCTGCTTCCCCTCTCCCCCGTCCTGCTTCCCCTCTCCCCCTCTTCCATTCCCACCATCGCTCTCCGCCTCACTCCTCTCCTCGCTCTTTCCCCCCTCCGCCCTCCGCCCCGATTCCCCCCATTCCCCCCTGTACACGTCACTCCACCTGCCTCCCCCCACCCTCCGCCCCTCTGCCCACCCATTGGTGGCCCTGATTAGGTCAGCAAGGGGAATGTGAGGGCAGGGGAGGGTGCGCCTGAGCATGGAAGGAACTGGACGGGGAAGGGGGGAATGAGGGGAACGGGGGGAATCATGGGAATGAGGGGAACGGGGAATGAGGGAAAGAGGGGAATGTGAGGGCAGGGGAGGGTGCGCCTGAGCATGGAAGGAGCTGCAAGGGGAAGGGGGGAATGAGGGGAACGGGGGGAGCGGGGGAGATGAAGGGAATGAGGGGAGCGGGGGGGATGAAGGGAATGAATGAGGGGAATGAGGGGAATGAGCGGAACGAGAGGTGTAAATAAGGCGGCAAGTGAGTAGGACTCTTGAGCAGATGAAGGGGTGGGGAATATGGGGGGGCCACAAGAAAGGAAGAGACGCAAGAGAAAGGAAGAGAGGCAAGAGAAAGGAAGAGAGGCAAGAGAAACAAAGATATTAGGCGCTGTTGAAAGAGAGGTGCAGGAACCACATGAAACGAGGAGAAGGGTAGCATCAGCAACGGGGGGGCAGCATGCCACACACACACACACACACACACACACACACACACGCACGCATGCACAAAAATACACACAAGCACATGCAAAAACACGTACACAGCTACTCACATCCACACACCCACCTACTCACACACACTCCCTCTCACCCCCTTACACGCACATTCCACTCCACCCACCACTTGCTGGCATGGCGACACATGCCCCACAACAACACCCGCCCATCCATCACATCACATGCCTGCTTCATCCCTGCTCCCTTCCCCTCTGATACAAGCGTAGATTTGAGACGTCTCAAAACAGCACTTTTATCACGTGCCCCCACTACAAGACCCACCCCACCCATCCATCACATCATATCACATGCCTCCTTTATCCCCGCTTCCCGCCCTCTCCCCTGCCCACTCACTCATAACCTCCCCCTTCCGCGCCTGCCCGCGCCTCCACCACCACAGCCCCCATCCCCCCCCCACCAGCACCACCAGCAGCAGCACCGCTGCACCCGCTGCTGCCCCGGCAATTGTGGATGGTGAGAGGGAGGAGGCGAGAGAGGGGGGAGGAGGAGGGGAGGCGACCAGGACTGAGATGATAAGGGGAGGAGGTGGGGGGAAGAGGGATGGCGGAGGGGGAGGAGGAGAAGGGGGAGGCGGTCTGGGGATTGGTGCTGGGGGGGAATAAGACAGGGGGATGGGATGAAGGGCTGGGGTGAGGTGAGGGATGGGTGGGCCGGGATGGGGGATGGGTGGGCATGCTTGAGTATGGAAGCGATTTGTTTTTAACCGAATGCGGAGATCAATGGGCGGGTTATATATTGGGGAGTACAAACGGGGGGGTTTGCGGTGCGGATCACCAAAGCAAGGCTAAGTGTATGTATGGTTGGTTGGTTGGTGTGATTCTGACCGTTGATTGGGATACAAGTGGAGCAGAAAGTCGAACAGAGCCTGCAAAACATGGATGAACGGTCCTGATTTATTTCACAGCGTCCCTCCATTGAGCAGCCCACCCCACCATCAGGAAACTGACTGAAAGGCGGGGCACACAGAGGGCAGATGGGCGGGACACACAGAGGGCAGATGGGCGGGACACACAGAGGGCAGATGGGCGGGACACACACAGAGAGGAATTGCCAGATTAGCATCCTCTTTGAGTCCGGTATGTAAGCTATGATGCTCGGGTAGAATTTGACACCCAACTACTAAGTTACCCAAACTACTAAGTTTGGTTGCACAAACTAATGGAATGTCTGCCTTAGTGGCAGGTTGGGAACCCAACCGTGGCCCAATATTCTGGTGCCAAGGCTGGGTTGGGAGATTACTAGCTGGTTTTTGAAAATTCTCAAAAACCAATATTCTGGTGCCAAGGCTGGGTTGGGAGATTACTAGCTGGTTTTTTTTAATTCTCAAAAAACAATTTTCTGGTGCCAAGGCTGGGTTGGGAGATTACTTGAGCCCAAATCATCTTAAATCAACTTTGAACGAAATGATTAGGATCCGCAATGATTCTCCGACCCAACATATTTGCGGGGGCAATAATCATGGCCATTGGCCAAGATCCCTTTCGAGTCAACTCAAAATTCAGTTCTCCATTCCAACTTACTGGTGGGGCCCAAGCATCTTGTCCAAGAGCTTCCCACCCCTTTTTTCTCAGACCACAATGTATGCCCCTCCTATTCTGATCCAAATTATAAGTGCGTTTTTGCGATTCACACAGGTATGTCATGTGGAAGGCACACATCAAGGTATGTCATGTGAGTAAACGTGTATCAAATTTTAAATATGAATATGTATGTACTCGTAGAGAAGAGGAAATCGCACAAGGTTACAAGATTCGTGAGGGCTCCAAAAGCGGCAGGGATCTTTCCTTGAACCTTTGTTCCAATCAATTCACTGAGTGGGACGCGGTTTGGGAAAGTGAGATAAGAGGGGAGCAAGCGTAAGGGGAGAAAGAGACTGGTCAGAGGAATGTGAGAGTGAAGCGAGGAGAGGGAGACAGCAAACATCAGTTTGACTCAAGTGAAGGCAAATGACTGGGGTGTAGGCACAGACATGGCAGGAGATAGAGTGGGCAGGAGATAGAGTGGGCAGGAGATAGAAGCAAAAATAGCAGGACGGGAGGGGAGGGGCACACAGGGCGGGGAGGAAGAGGGGGAGGGGCGCACACACATGCTAAGTTGGAAAAAAAGGCTCACCTGTACCTGCGTATTGAGTTTATACGCTACAAAAATACGTACACTGCGTTTTTTGTGTAAAAACGCGGAAAAAAAAAAAAAAAACGTTTCGGCAGACCAGAAAAGAAAACCAGAAGCTGGGTGGGTTTGAATGCGGCTCATTTCTCCAATCGATGTCCATCCTTCTGTTTTGTTTTTACCTCGTTCCTACCGACCTCGTTCTTATCGACGAGCAGGCACCACCTTCGTGCTTTGCACCTCGGCCATCCTGCCTCTGAACCTTTTGAGACGTCTCAAAAATCCCCGCCTCTGAACCTTTTGAGACGTCTCAAAAATCCCCGCCTCTGAACCTTTTGAGACGTCTCAAAAATCCCCGCTCTCTGAACCTAACAAACTGGCCCGGGATTTCATTTCATCTGCCCAGGCCAGCGCATGCTGTGCATACCACCGGATACTCCTCCCGCAGCGTTTGGCGTTTATACGCTAGCGCATAAACTGTGGAACGCTCATATTCCAACTTAGCGCAGAGGGTGGGGGAGGAAATTGGGGAGGGGCGCACAGCACAGTGAGGCGACTGAGGGCTGTGAGGAAGCGAGGCAGCCGGCCCGAGATGGTACCTATAGCCATGCGATTAGGCGAGCAGCAGTCTAGGAAGAAAAAATTGAGACGTGTGGAAAGGGGGGAGGGGCGTACAGCACAGTGAGGCGAGTGAGGGCTGCAAGGAAGCGAGGCAGCCGGCCCGAGATGGCAGTGTTGCCGAGTAAACTGGGGCAGGGGGAATGGGGAAGGGGAAGGGGGAGGGGGGATGGGGAAGGGGAAGGGGGAAGGGGGAAAGGGGAGGGGGAAGGGGGAAATGGGAAGGGGGGAAGAGGCAGTGAGCAGGGGAAGGGGGGAAGGGGGCATGGGGGGAGGAGGGAGGGGGATTGGAGAAGGCGGAAGGGGGGAGGGGGAAGGAGGAAGGGGAAAGGGGGAAGGGGAGCGGGGGGCAAGGGGCAGGGGGGAGGGGGAGTGGAAAAAGGGAAAGTGGAAGTGGGCAGGGGGTAGGGGAAAGGGGGAGGGGGGGGAGGCCAGAGGAGAAGAAAAGGAGACATGGAAAGCAAAGCACCAAGGGATGAAGGGTATGGGAGTGGGACAGTCCCTGCCAGGGGATGGGATGGGATGGGATGGGATGGGATGGGATGGGATGGGATGGGAAACATACGCTTGTGAGGAGGAAGCGATCTACACGAGGGGATTCATTTCAGCAACGGGCCGACCCGTCCCGACCCAGGCCGACCAGGGCAGACAAGGCCGACCCGACCCTGGCCAGGCACGGGTCAGGCCTGGTCGACCTTACCTCGGGTCACATCCATCCCACAGATTTGCAACCCGTCCTGAAGTTTTATGGAAAATGGAGGGGACAGATGTGACACAACACCCGACCCCAAGTCGGGCAACTAGACCCGCATTTTCGCACAGATTGGCAATTTCGCCTGGTGTTTTTACATGCCGAGAGGTTGTGGGCAGATGTATGTAATTTATCTACCCAAAAAAACAGGGGGAAAAAAAAACAAACAAACAAAAAAACAAAAAAGTGAGAGATTGCAGGAGGAGAGGCAGGGTTCAGGGGCTGACAGCTGCTGGAGTCTGGTGAGGCGGGAGAGAGCGCGAGGCAGGGATCCCGTGAGGAAAGGGTTCAGACTCAGCACCCTGCCGTGCACGTGAGAAAGGGGGTCTGACTCAACACCCTGCGGCCTTCTCCCCATGCACATCCCCAGCCAGCGCAAGACAGGAGCAGCAGAGGGGGGCAGAAACAGAGAAACAGAAAGCAAGAGAAGAGGGTACAAGAACCCTCAAGCGTAGTTCCTTGCACACTCTTCAAAACACTCAGACGCAAGAAAAATATAGTTAGAAAGTCCCAAAGGTGCAAAGAGGCGTGTGCGTGCAGCTCACAAGAACTCGAGGCGTGAAAGGGCAGCAATGGTGGAGGGGATGCTCCCTGTGATGGCGTTGGATGGCGCGTAGCTGGTGGTGGGTGGTGGTGGGGCATGCAGTGGGGGGGACAGTGGAGCACGGAATGGGAGGGACGATGGGGCATGCAATGGGGGGGATGATGGGGCATGTAATGGGGGGGACGATGGGGCATGTAATGGGGGGGACGATGGGGCATGTAATGGGGGGGATGATGGGGCATGTAATGGGGGGGACGATGGGGCATGTAATGGGGGGGATGATGGGGCATGTAATGGGGGGGACGATGGGGCATGTAATGGGGGGGACGATGGGGCATGTAATGGGGGGGACGATGGGGCATGTAATGGGGGGGACGATGGGGCATGTAATGGGAGGGACGATGGGGCATGTAATGGGAGGGACGATGGGGCATGTAATGGGAGGGACGATGGGGCATGTAATGGGAGGGACGATGGGGCATGTAATGGGAGGGACGATGGGGCATGTAATGGGAGGGACGATGGGGCATGTAATGGGAGGGACGATGGGGCATGTAATGGGAGGGACGATGGGGCATGTAATGGGAGGGACGATGGGGCATGTAATGGGAGGGACGATGGGGCATGTAATGGGAGGGACGATGGGGCATGTAATGGGAGGGACGATGGGGCATGTAATGGGAGGGACGATGGGGCATGTAATGGGAGGGACGATGGGGCATGCATTAAGAGGGACGATGAGCGATGACCAAGAGACGCACGATGAGCAAGAGATGAATCTGATGGTGCTGGTTACATGTTTCCCAGGGCGGTGAGGGCACTGATGGTGTCGGGCAGCGGGCCAGAGATGCCATTCCAGGGTTACCACGTTACCAGAGCAAGGAAATACAACAAACTGAGGGTCATAGAAGTGGGGTGCTGGTTACATGTTTTCCAGGGCGGTGAGGGCACTGATGGTGTCGGGCAGCGGGCCAGAGATGCCATTCCGTGCCATGCTCCTGGAACAGGGGAGGGGAGGGTGGGTGGGGGTTGGCGACATGGCGTTGTTTGAGGCGCCTCAAGAGGCAACTTTTGAGCAGCGGGCCAGAAATGCCATTTTGTGCCATGCTCCTGTGGTAGGGGAGGGTGGGTGGGGGTAGCGTTGCTTGCAAGGGAGGGCAGGCAGGGGGGGGCGTTGCTTGCAGGCTATGAGGCTTTGACACGAAAATCTGCAAGCGTCAAGCGTTAAAACGTTGACACTGCATCCATTTTTGGGGCGGGGGAGCATAAGAGAATTTTTTATTTGACCTCCACGGAGGGAGAGGCATGCAAGAGGTGAGGCGTACAAGAGGTGAGGCGTACAAGAGGTGAGGCGTACAAGAGGTGAGGCGTACAGGTAGCAGAGGGCGGTGAGATGGCTGATTTCGTGTGGCAGTGGCACATGCAAGGGGTTGGCATCCATTTCGCTGGGAGCATGTAGGGTGAGAAGGGAAGGGAGACCGGAGATCACATAAGAGGGAGGGGAGCGGCAGTGGACGGAGAAGCTGGGCGTGGAAGGGAGAAGATGGGCGTTGGAGGGAGGGAGTGGGCATGAGAGGGAGTGTATAGCAGCATGGGGAAAACTATGGCTGACAGGAGCAAGAGCGAGTAAATGGGAGAATCCGAGGAGGCAAGTAAGGAAGTGAGAAGCGATCTACGGAGGTGGTGAAGGAACCAAGAAGTGAGGCAGGGGAGAGAGGGAGAGAAAGGTGGGCTGACAGATATGCAAGCCGGTGCATGCGTGAGATGGTGGGTGGAATGGGTCCAGTGAAGCTGTTGTTGTAGAATGAACTGACGGGGGGGAAGGGGGTTAGGCTTTTGAGTCGACTCAAAAGTCGACGGCGGGTGGCCTGGGTCCCATGAAGCTATTGTTATAGAATGAACTGGCGGGACGAAGGGGGTTTGGTGGCTTGGCTGTTAGACACAGACAGACGATGCAAGGCACGGCAAGGCAAGGCAAGGCGAGGTGAGGCAAGGCAAGGCAAGGGAAGGGAAGGCAAGGCAAGGCAAGTCAAGGGAAGTCAGGGGCAGAACGATGGGAATGATGGGCAGAATGGTGAGAATGAAGGGTAGAATGATAGGAATGATGGGGAAAACGATGGGAATGATGGGCAGAGTGATGGATAGAGGGGCATAACAGAATGACATGTCGGTTACAGGGCGACAGGGGATGGCATGTTGGTGACAGGGTAACAAGGGATGGCATGTTGGTTACATGGTAACAAGAGATGGCATGTTGGTTACATGGTAACAAGGGATGGCATGTTGGTTACATGGTAACAAGGGATGGCATGTTGGTTACAGGGTAACAAGGGATGGCATGTTGGTTACAGGGTAACAAGGGATGGCATGTTGGTTACAGGGCAACAAGGGATGGCATGTTGATTACAGGGTAACAAGGGATGGCCTGTTGGTTACAGGGTAACATGTTGGTTACTGTTAGTGTTAGCCTTCAATCTCACACTTTGTACTTTGTATTTTCTAGAGTAGTGTAGTTTGCACATTGTGTTTGGTTGGGTGTACACCTACATCCCAACCAAACCCAAATGTCATCTCCAAGCAATCTCCAACCCACCAATTGGAGATTGCCTTGGGATTACCCCCAATCCCTAGGATTGCCCCCGATTCCCTTCCCCATCCATTCCCTCCCCTTCTTGGATGTATTTAAAGAGCTTCAAGCTCATTACTAATGCATCGCTTCTAAGCCTAAGTTCTCATATGGTATCAGAGCCCTTCAAACCGCACACGCGGATCGTGATCCTCTTATCTCTGCGGATGTTCGTCCCGCAAACCTCGGCGTAACCGCCTTCAATCTCGTCGCCGTTGATTCGCGACATTCGTGGGCGGAAATTCTTCCGCACCACTTTCCCGTCACTCTCGACGGCATCTACTATCTCACTGGTAAGCGCATCGTCGGCGCTTTAACCTATCGCTCATTTTCGTCGAACATCATCGCGTCATTCCTTCTCCTCGTCGGGCTGTCGCCCGTCGCCCTGCAGCTTCTCGTCGGGCCGTCGCCCGTCGCCCTGCAGCTTCTCGTCGGGCCGCCGCCCGTCGCCCTGCAGCTTCACCTTCGGGCTGCCGCCCGTCGCTCCGCATCTGCACTCCTACCCCCATCCCCCTCCCTTTCCCGCAGCTGAACAGGTGCAGCAGCGCAGCCGAGCAGCAGCGTAGCCGCGAAGCCGAGCAGCCGTGTAGCCGCGAAGCCGAGCAGCAGCGCAGCCGAGAAGCTGAGGGTGGTGTGCGGGGGGGTGTGTGGGAATAGGATTAGTAGGTAGTTGACACTAAATTGGCGTTTCAGTCGAATTCTCCTTCAGAAACCCTAAACCTCAAAATTCTCTTTCGTAAACCCTAAACCTCCGGTTCTTCAAAATCTCCTTCGGAAACCCCAAACCTCAAGTTCCTATCGTTGACTCAAGAGCGGCACTCCGCGCGACACCCTAAGGGGTCTCCATCATGGCATTCGCCTCGTCCACCATGGCCAACCCCATCACCCCACTCCGTCTTGACGCCGATGGCTCTAGCTCCAACTTCAAGGAATGGAGCTATGGGGTTGACAAGCACCTGCTGAGCCGTGACGTGCAGGGATTGGACCTCAAGGATGTCGTCCTCAACCGTGGCAAGGGAAAACAGCCCCTTCTCCCTCGCGAGCCGACCGAATCCGCTAGTGAGGCTGACACAAAGGCATATGAGGAAGCCGTTGAGAAGTACCGGAAGTGGGAGAAGGCCGATGCTGCAATTATCAGCGTCTTCATCGCCTCCACCCCTCCAGAACTTGTCAACACGTTCCATAACTACCCTACCTCCGACGCCATCTGGAAGTATCTCCAGGATCGGTTTATGAACAAGACTGCAGTCGGAGTTGCCATCCTCATCCCCAGCATGTTCCAGGTCCGCTTTGAGGATTGCTCGGGAATGGCCGACTACATTGCCAAGGTTCAGACCATTCATGGCGAACTCAAGGAGCTGGGTAATAGTCTTCCCCAAACAGGCCCCTGCAGCAGCTCTTCTCGTTGGTCTCACCACAACCTATGAAATCACAAGGAAGATGCTTCTCACGCTGATTGCGGAAGACCTCACTTTTGCCAAGGTCTCCACCGCACTCCTCTCTGCCGAGAAAGACTCCACGGCTCAGGCCAAGGCTTACGCCATCCGTGCTCCCATGCCTCAAGCCAGTGTCGCATCGGCCCTTGCCTCGGCGCCCCTCCAGCGCAACCGTGCACCTACATCGTCAAGTATGGCAACCGCAAGGGACAAGTGTGTGGTGGCACTAACCACCCCCTTGCTACGTGCTTCAAGAAGAAGGACGACAAATGGTACGCCATCCACGGCATAGACAAGAGGCCACCAAACTAGATGCGTGCGCGTAAGGCCAACCTGGTTGAGGTCCAGGACCCCGCTTCGGCTAGTGCTAGTGATAGTGCTCCTGCTGATACCCGTATCAACCTGTTGTTCTCTGGCACTGCCATGATTAATGAAGCTTCCTCCCAGTACCTCGGCTCATCACAAGCACCACAATACATAGAGTTCACACTCGACAGCGGGGCCACACACACTGTACTCAAGGAGACACTCTCCTTCAAACCCTACGCAACACCCATCCCTCTCCTAGGAGCTGATTCAAGCTTCACCACTCATGCCAAGGGTTCATCCACAGTCCCGTGCCCCGCCTTCCCTTCCGGCACTGTCACTGGAATGTGCGTGCCTTCACTCCGCCACAATCTCGTGGCCCAAACGGAAATTCAGGAAGCTCGACTACGCACCATCTTCTGGGAGAACGAGAACTATGGTGATATCCTCGACCCACTCACCAACAAGGTCTTGACTCGTTTCACCCTCAACAGCAGCGGCCTTTACACGCTGCAAGTACCCATCCCACAGGTGTCAACCACCCAAACAGCAGCGACTACCTCACCATGCTCGTGCCGCAGTTTCTCCAACCCGACCATACTCTACCACCATCGGCTCGGGCACCCAAACTTCCGCACACTTGCTGACATGGCCTCCAAGAAACTTCTACTCGGCCTGCCAGCCTCACTTCCTCCACCACCAGACTCCCCCGCTCCCACGTGCCTTGACTGCACCAAGAGCAAACTGCGTCAACAGCCCCACCCGGCCTCACCCTCTGTCGCAGCAGGACCACTGGACCTGGTACACCTGGACGTCTAGGGCCCTGCCCCTGTTCCCGCACGAGGTGGTTATCGCTACTTCCTTGTTATCGTCGATCACCACTCTCGCTACGTCTCTGTTCACCTCCTCCACACTAAGGCTGCGGTTCCAGAGGTCCTCATGGCGTGGGTTAAACAGGCACAGACCGCCTTTGACCGCAAAGTCAAGCGCCTCCACTCAGATGGTGGTGGTGAGTTTTGCAACGACAAGCTCAAAGCCTTCTGCTCTTCAGAAGGCATCCAGCAAAACTTCACCCTCCCTGATAGCCCGCAGCAGAACGGCATAGCTGAGAGCCGCAACCACACCCTGGTGCAGATCACTCGGTGCCTCCTCAGCCACTCCAACGCTCCACACTCTCTCTGGGGGTACGCTCTCTACCACGCCGCCCTCCTCTACAACCTTTACCCCCACCCGCATCTTCCCGACACCACTCCAACCACACTCTGGCTCGGGAAAACGCCCACTGCTCGCTCTCTTCGCGTTTGGGGATGCACCGCCTATGTCCTCCTCAACCCTCAGGCTCGACGGCAACACGGCGGCAAGCTCGGTCCCAAGACCCAGACATGCATCTACCTCGGACACAACGCCGACTCGCCTGACTACCTCTTCCTCAATCCCTCCACTCAGGAGTTGGTCCGGAGCCGCGACGTTGTCTTTGATGAGACCCGCCCATTCTACTCCACTTCGGGACGGGACCCTCTCCCTGACCCACCCTCCCTCGTGTGGGCAGACTTTGATGCGCCTCCTGACCTCTCGCCTGCTCCGGCCCCTTCACCCCCTACCCCTCCTGCCACCGCACCGTCCCCCTCTGCGGTCTCTGACCCGCCCTCACCGGTGTCTTCGGCAGCTGCTCCTCCATCCCCCTCACTTCCCACTCCGCCGACTGTGCAGCCACCTCCGAGCGCACCTATCACCTACCATCGGCGGTCCCACCCTCCGGCCCCACCTCCTCCCCCGGTTCCCCCCACCACAGAGGAACCCGCTCTCCCACAGTCGCCCGAGCTGATCACGTACCACCGGCGGCCCATTCCCCCACCCAAGCCTCCTAAGTCAACCCCTCCGACACCGCCTGCCCCACCCTCTTCTCCGGTGGCTCATGGCACTCGTTCGCATGGCGCGGCTCTTCTACTAGCGCTGGTTCTTCGATACACGGCGATCACACCGCCTCCTCCTGTTGGGGGGGATGTGCCCTCTACCCTTCTGGAAGACAGGCATGAGGAGCTGTGTGATCTTCATGCAGTCATTCCTCAGCTCTCGCACATCTTCCCCGACATCACTGACTCACCCTCCCTCAACTTCGCGGAGAACCCGACCATCCCTATCCCTCTCACCGTCCAAGAGGCTCTCTCAGGCCCTCATGCTGCCGAATGGCGTGCTGCCATGGAAGCGGAGATTGCAGCATTCACCCGCAACCACTCCTTCGACGACGAGACTCCACCTCTAGGAGTCAACATCGTCCGGGGCAAGTGGTTGTTCCGTGTAAAACAGCTCCCAGACGAGGCCCCGGTGTTCAAAGCGCGTTACGTAGCCAAGGGCTTCACCCAGCAGCAGTACCGCGACTTCTTCCTAACCTTCTCCCCCACATCCAAACCTCCCACCATTCGTACGCTCATGGATGTCGCAGCTCGAGAAGACTTTGAGATCAAATCCATGGATGCCTCATCCGCCTTCCTACAAGGACGTCTCAAGGAGAGAGTGTTCATGGACAGACCAGAAGGCTTCCCAGGAGAATTCCCTCCCAACACTGTCTGGAAGCTGAATCGCCCCGTCTATGGCCTTAAGCAAGCCCCTCGCGAATGGCACAACAAGGTGAAAGAAGTCCTCCTCTCCCTGGACTTCCACCCTTCAACTGCTGACCCGACTCTCTTCATCCGCCGTCATTCTGAGCCATTCTACATCCTGGTCTACGTGGATGATTTCATCCTCGTTGCCAAGGACTCGGCACAGATGACCTCTGTCCAGGCAGCCCTGAGCAAGGCTCTCCAGATGAAAGACCTCGGTGACCTCAAGCACTACCCGGGGATGGAGATCACTCGTGATCGCCAGGCTCGCACCATTTCACTCTCCCAGGAGTTCTACATCGACAATGTGCTCAAGCGGTTTGAGATGGAGCTGTGCACACCTGTTGCCACCCCGCTGCCGCTGCAACACCTCCTCACTGCTCCAGCTGTACCCACACCAGAGGCCTGCTCTGAGCCATACCCGGAGCTTGTTGGGTCCCTCATGTACGCCATGATGTGCACCCGACCGGACTTGGCCTATCCTGTCAGTGTCCTCTCTCGCTACGTGGCCCCTGGACGCTCCACTGATCTTCACTGGAAGGCGGCGAAGCGGGTGCTGCGCTATCTTCAGGGCACCAAGTCTCACGTTCTCACACTCGGTGGGCTCTCCCCTCCTCGCCTGGAAGGTTACACCGACTCCTCCTGGGCTGATGACCAGACCGACCGACGCTCCTCTCAGGGGTACTGCTTCACCCTTGGGAGCGGAATTGTCAGTTGGCGCTCCACCAGGTCGTCTGCAGTCTCCCTCTCCTCCTGTGAGGCAGAGCTCTACGCAGGCACCATGGCTGCTCAGGAGGCCCGTTGGCTCACCTTCCTACTCCAGGAGCTTGGTTTCCCACAGTCCGCCCCCACCCTCTGGTGTGACAACCAGAGTACCATCCACATCTCTCAAGATCCTGTGTATCACACCCGCACCAAGCATATTGAACTTCGGCACTTCTTCATCCGTGACCTTGTCCAACAGGAGCAGCTGAAAGTGGAATACGTTGCATCTGACTGCAATCTGGCTGATCTGTTCACCAAGCCCCTTGGGAAAGTTCCCCACCACCGTCTCCTAGGCGCCATGGGGCTCTGTGCACCACCCTCTCTACCATGAGTTCGATTGACGCCTATGGGGGGGTGTTAGTGTTAGCCTTCAATCTCACACTTTGTACTTTGTATTTTCTAGAGTAGTGTAGTTTGCACATTGTGTTTGGTTGGGTGTACACCTACATCCCAACCAAACCCAAATGTCATCTCCAAGCAATCTCCAACCCACCAATTGGAGATCGCCTTGGGATTACCCCCAATCCCTAGGATTGCCCCCGATTCCCTTCCCCATCCATTCCCTCCCCTTCTTGGATGTATTTAAAGAGCTTCAAGCTCATTACTAATGCATCGCTTCTAAGCCTAAGTTCTCAGAGTTACAGGGTAACAAGGGATGGCATGTTGGTTACAGGGTAACAAGGGATGGAATGCTGGTTACAGGGCAACACGGGATGGCATGTTGATTACAGGGCAACAAGGGATGTGATGTTGGTTACACGGCAACAAGGGATGGCATGTTGGTTACAGGGTAACAAGGGATGGCATGTTGGTTACAGGGTAACAAGGGATGGCATGTTAGTTACAGGGCAACAAGGGATGGCATGTTGGTTACAGGGCAACACGGGATGTGATGTTGGTTACAGGGCAACACGGGATGGCATGTTGGTTACAGGGTAACAAGGGATGGCATGTTGATTACAGGGTAACAAGGGATGGCATGTCGGTTACATGGTAACAAGGGATGGCATGTTGATTACAGGGTAACAAGGGATGGCATGTCGGTTACATGGTAACAAGGGATAGCATGTTGGTTACATTGCAACAAGGGATGGCATGTTGGTTACATGGTAACAAGGGATGGCATGTTGACAATGACGTCGAAAATAGGGCCCGAGAAGTTGTTGCTGCTCAGACATCTGCATGCGTGCAACAAACACACACACACACATGCATGCACGCACACACAGATGCACACATACACATACACACACATGCACACACACACGTACACACACACACACACAAACCACACACACACACACACACACACACACACACACACACAGACATGCGCACGCACACAAAAAGACACAAACCAGACCGCCACCCCACGCATGCGGTATTAGTGACCTGCCACCCCACGCATGCGGTATTAGTGACCTACCAACCCACGCATGCGGTATTAGTGACCTGCCACCCCACGCATGCGGTATTAGTGACATGCCACCCCACGCATGCGGTATTAGTGACCTGCCACCCCACGCATGCGGTATTAGTGACCTGCCACCCCACGCATGCGGTATTAGTGACATGCCACCCCACGCATGCGGTATTAGTGACCTGCCACCCCACGCATGCGGTATTAGTGACCTGCCACCCCACGCATGCGGTATTAGTGACCTGCCACCCCACGCATGCGGTATTAGTGACCTGCCACCCCACGCATGCGGTATTAGTGACATGCCACCCCACGCATGCGGTATTAGTGACCTGCCACCCCACGCATGCGGTATTAGTGACCTGCCACCCCACGCATGCGGTATTAGTGACCTGCCACCCCACGCATGCGGTATTAGTGACATGCCACCCCACGCATGCGGTATTAGTGACCTGCCACCCCACTCATGCGGTATTAGTGACATGCCACCCCACGCATGCGGTATTAGTGACCTGCCACCCGCTCGTGCATGCAGAGAGACCACACAAGAACAACACTAAGGTCTCCTCAGCTCAAAGTCCCAAAAGGGGGCAGTGCGCCTCACAAGGGGCAGTGCGCCTCACAGGGGGCAGTGCGCCTCACAGGGGGCAGTGCGCCTCACAGCCTCACAGGGTGTTCAGGCGGACGAGAGTGGAGAGGGTAGATGGCAGGGGTCCGGACATTTGGTTCACGTGCACATCACTGCACCGCAAGCGTGGGGCACAAGAGGAGGGGGTGGGGTGGGAGGGGAGGGGAGTAGAGAGTAGAGAGTAGAGAGTGGGGAATGTGGTGGGTATTGGGAGGTGGGTGGGAGAGCATTGGAGTGAGGAGGCAGAGGTCCGGACATCTGATTCTGGTGCACATCACTGCACCGTTGTGCACAAGAGGAGGGGTTGGGAGGGGGGAGGAATAGGGAGTGGGGGGCGTGGTGGGTATTGGAAGGTGGGAGAGCGACTGGTTCTGGTGCTCATCACTGCACGCGTGGGGCAAGGGGAAAGAGGGGGGTGAGGAGGGGTCCAAGGGGAAGAGGGGGCATGGTGGAACGTGGGTGGAATGACAGAGGTCCGGACAGTTGGTTCTGGTGCACATCACTGCACCGCACGCATCGGGCACAAGAGGAGCGGGTGAGAGGGGGGAGGAATAGGGGAGGATGTGGTAGTGGGTGTTGGGACGTGGTGGGTGGGTCCAAACACTTGGTTTTGGTGCACATCACTGCACGCGTCGGGCACAAGAGGAGGGGCTCAAGGGAGGAGGGGTAGGGAGTTGGAGAGTGGAAAGGGCGGGTGGCAGAGGTCCGGACAGCTGGTTCTGGTGCACATCACTGCACGCGTCAGGCATAAGAGGAGGGGCCCAAGGGGAAGAGGTGGTACGGTGGAACGTGGGCGGAGTGAGAGGGCAGAGCATGAGAGTGAGAAATCAAAGAAGATGGGTGGAGAGTGGTGACGGGTGGAGAGTGGTGACGGGTGGAGAGTGGTGACAAGTGGAGAGTGGTGACGGGTTGAGTGGTGACGGGTTGAGTGGTGACGGGTGGAGGAGTGCACAAGAGGACGAGGTGGGAGGGGGTGGGACGGGGGACGGGTGGGGAGGGGGGGGTGTGGTGGTGGTATTGGGAGGTGAGAGAGCATGAGAGTGAGGAGGCAACGGAGTGAGTGACAGGTGGAGGGTGATGGGTGGAGTGGAGAGCGAGGTGGGTTGGGTGAAGGGGGGTTGCAGGGCGACAAACAGTGAGTGGAGGCGAATGAGGGGAGAGGAGGCGACTGAGAGGGAGAGGAGGCGACTGACAGGGAGTGGAGGTGCGAGAGGGAGGAGATGGGGATGGGCATGGAGACGGCTGACAGTGAGTAAGTGACTGACAGTGAGTGGAGACAGCTGACAGTGAGTAACTGACTGACAGTGAGTGGAGACGGCTGACAGTGAGTAACTGACTGACAGTGAGTGGAGACGGCTGACAGTGAGTGGAGACGGCTGACAGTAACTGACTGGCAGTGATTGGAGACGGCTGACAGGGAGAGGAGGTGGGGCAACTGACAGGGATTGAAGGCGCGAGAGGGCGGAGAGGGCAACAGGCAAGCGGCCGTTGAGGCCCCTGTTGGACACGTCTCTGCTCACCCAAAGAAAGAGAGAGGGGTGGAGAGGTGGGGACGGGCGGTGGGAGGGGAGGGATGAGTGAGCACGAGAACAAGAAACACGAGAGTGTTCGCATGTTGACACAGCATGCATGCATTACATGTTGACGCGGCATGCATGTTGACACGGCATGCATGTTGACACGGCATGCATGTTGACACGGCATGCATGTTGACACGGCATGCATGTTGACACGGCATGCATGCGGCAGCGGCAACACAATGCATCTGTCCATGGCAAGCCTGTGCTCGACTCTTATACATGTGATGCCCTGCGCCTGCCTGCACTCCACGTCCTCCACTCAACCCATCGCGCTCAAATCCCCGAGTGCATCATGAATACCCTGATACTCGATTCCGCACTCACATGGACGTCACCATGCTGTCCCCGTCACATGTGATGCCCTGTGCCTGAGTGCACTCCGCGCCCACCCTGTCGCGCTCATTCCCCCCCCCCATCCCCCCTCGCGCTCATCCCCCCCACCCCCTCCCACTCACAGCGCCGTCACCATGCCGTCACTGTCGCATGTGATGCCCTGTGCCGGCGCGCAATCCATGCCCCGCGCCCACCTTGACGCTGCATTGACGCTCATCCCCCACTCCACCGCACACTCCTTCAGCGCCGCCACTGCGAGAGGTGCAGTGAGAGAGATACGCGCAGGCAGTGAGGGAGATACGCGCAGGCAGTGAGGGAGATACGCGCAGGCAGTGAGGGAGATACACGGTATGCACTCTTGTTGTGAAAAATACTACACAATCCTTCAGCGCCGCCACTGCGCGAGGTGCAGTGAGGGAGCTCAGTTTTTGCGTTTTAATCGTTGTAGTGGACTTAGAGCTCAGTTTCGATCTTGTTTTTTGAGCTGGCAACACAAGAGTTTTAACTCTACTGTATTTCTTCTGCTAAAGAATTCTCCTAAGCTGCAGCTCGCCTAGTCTCATGGCTGCCGCCACTGGGCGAGGTGCAGTGAGGGAGATACATGGTATGCACGTTTGTAGTGAACTACGCACGGTAGAAATACTAATCTCATCCCCCACTCTACCGCACACTCCTTCAGCGCCGCCACAGCGCGCAGTGAGGGATATACGTGTGCGCAGGCACGAGCGCGCAGTGAGGGAGGCGAGGTGCAGCGGACAGCGGGAATTCGGGACTTGGGAGGAGAGAGGGGGAGGGGGAGGGAGAGGGGGGAGGAGAGGAAGAGGGGATGGACGTCAATGCAAGAGTTCAGTTCTGCGCAAAACTGAAGTACAGCACAAGCTGGAGGGAAGGCCAGCGGGACAGCAGGCTCCAGTGCAAATCGTTAGCTCCGTGGTAGATGGAGAAGGGAGAGGAAAAGGGTGAGGGAGAGGGAGAGCGATTCTTGACACCCTCAGAAGCAGAAACTCGCCTCTGCAAGGGCTGTGCTCTGGAAGGGCTGTGCTCTGCAAGGGCTGTGCTCTGGAAGGGCTGTGCTCTGCAAGGGCTGTGCTCTGGAAGGGCTGTGCTCTGCAAGGGCTGTGCTCTGCAAGGGCTGTGCTCTGGAAGGGCTGTGCTCTGGAAGGGCTGTGCTCTGGAAGGGCTGTGCTCTGGAAGGGCTGTGCTCTGGAAGGGCTAGCAGAGCACAGGCGGATGACTAACAGAGCAGGCTCTTCAGCTCCAGAGGGCCCCCATCCTCCAGCCCCTCACTCCGCTGTGCCTACGTGGCTGGAGGCTGTGCCTACGTGGCTGGAGGCTTTGCCTACGTGGCGATGACTACCTCTGCTCCCCACAGCGGATGACTAGCGGAGCAGGCTCCTCAGCTCCAGAGGAGGCCCCCGTCCTCCGGAGCCCCTCACTCCGGCTCAGGCCGCCAAGCATCCAAGCCAAAGCATCACCGGCCCGCGCACCCCATGGGAAGGGACTACCCGCCCACAGCGGCCACTCTGGCCCCTCTCCCCACTCTGGCCCCTCTCCCCACTCTGGCCCCTCTCCCCACTCTGGCCCCTCTCCCCACTCTGGCCCCTCTCCCCACTCTGGCCCCTCTCCCCACTCTGGCCCCTCTCCCCACGCCCTCCCATGCACCTGACCTGTCATTACACTCTGCTCTTGTGGCAAATTGTTAACTACCCGAGGCGCCTCAAAACTACCCGATCGGCCCCCACCCAGGCACTTCCTGTTATTGCTGGACCCCCCTGGTGCAGGTCATGGTCATTCCTGCCTGCCCTGGCTGTATCCCATTATTTTGTGAAAGTGACTCCGTTCGATGGCGAGGGGAAATGGGCGAGGGGAGGAGGTACTATGCGAGGATGGCAGGGGACGCCACCAAGGCGCGAGACTTGTCTTCCACTGGCTATGCCCCACTCTATTTTGTGAAAATGATGCTGGAGGGGGTTTTTTTGAGAATTCTCAAAAAAAACTCCACTGGCTATGCCCCACTCTATTTTGTGAAAATGACTCCGTCCGAGAGGGGAAGAGGGCGAGGGGAGGAGGTACTACGCGAGGATGGCAGGGGACGCCACCAACGCGCGAGATCAGCGCGAGCGCAGCGCGAGAGCAGCGCGAGATCAGCGCGAGCGCAGCGCGGGAGCAGCGCGAGATCAGCGCGAGCGCAGCGCGAGAGCAGCGCGGAGCAGCGGGGGAGCAGCGCGAGAGCAGCTCGAGAGCAGCGCGAGAGCAGCTCGAGAGCAGCGCGAGAGCAGCGCGAGAGCAGCGCGAGCGCAGCGAGGGAGCAGCGCGAGCGCAGCGAGGGAGCAGCGCGAGCGCAGCGCGATCGCAGCGGGACCGAGAGCAGTGCGAGGGCGCGGGAGCAGCGCGAGAGCAGCGCGTGCGCAACGAGAGAGCAGCACGAGAGCAGCGCGAAGGAAGGGTTCGTCGTTACAATGCGGTAACGGTCACGAGTACTAATGGAAGTCGCGCGAGTAGAGCGGAATAGAGGAGGGAGCGTGACTTGCTGCTGGTCGAGAGTAGTAAAAGCTACGTCTTGCGAGCGTGGCGCACCTTGGGAGTCGGCGAGAGTCACGGGCTGCACGACACGTGGCAGGAGACTGGCGACGACCGCCGCTACTAGCCAGGGAAGGGCTGCGGCAACGATCTGCGATCGCGAGGTCCGCCTCGCGCGGCCCGTCATGGACGGCGAGCGGGTGTTGAAACGCCACGCGTCAACGTGAGAGCAACAACTGTTTTGCTCAGTAGCGGGGGATCAGGGTAACGGCGTCCACCCGCTGGGCACGAGCAAAACGACGAAACCATGGCTGGGCACTCGGCCGCTCACCCGAATCGGCTTTCGGCGGCCGAGCCTTGGCCCCGAGGCGTGGCTGATGGCCCAAAACCAAGTCAGCCGGGCCTCTCTGACGCAGCAATCACGCCACTCTGACGTGGCCCGGGCCACACTGACGCGGCTAGGTGGGGACCTTGGGACCGAACCGCCGAGCAGGTTCGGGACCAGGGCCCCATCGCGCGAACCACGTCTAGTTACCCGTATTACTCATATGTTTGCTCGCGAAAGTCGTTTCGTATGTGTTTCATGCTACTTCAACATTTTCCAATAGCGAGGTAGAAAATCACCCCGACACTAATTGTGTATGGCATGGCCTCTAGTTAGTGGCACTCTCCATTGTACCTATCGCTCTTATCGCGTACGGTAGCTTGTTGTCGGCCTTGTGACTGTTTCCCTCGATGGTTGATGCAAGCTGGCGCCAATAATTGTGAGGCTATATTCCTGGTCTTCATGCTGCTGCTCATTGCGATCTGAAGGCAAGATGCACGATATTCCACCGTCGAAGGACTAACACACGCGGTTCAATAATCATGTGTGCACGCTTCGAGCAGCAGATAATTATTTGCAAACACAATTATGTGTACGCGAAGGACATGCGATTCATGCCCCACCGAAGTGTTTCCCACATCGCCAGCCCGCGCTCAGCTCGTACCTGCCGCAAAACGCGCGACGATGTCGAGTCGCGTCGTTCCTTCCCGTCGCTCGCACTGCTGGCCCCATTGGAGCTTTTCCTGCCGTTCCCGTTCTCCTATCATCCCGCGCCGCCGTCCCCGCCTCCTTCCGCCGCCCCCTACTCGCCCTGCCTTGCACTATATATGTGCCCGCACGATTCTTTACGCCCGCGTATTCCCAACATTCTCTTGTCCTACTCTTCACCTCTCTTCACCTCGTCGCTGCACATAGTCTCCAGGTTGATTCCTAAAAGTATTCGAGTTAATATCCGCCCGTACCCTCGATTCGAAGTCGCAGCAAAGTATCTCGATCCCGTTATCTGCATCTGATGGCTTCGGTTTTGCCGGTCACGCGGCTCCCCCAGCTGGCGCCAGTGCCACTCGTCGTCGCCGTCGTCTTCGCGGTCGTCGCAACCCTCCTCCCCTCCTGCGACGCAATCCGCGCCGCCGCGTCGCCCGATGCGACCATCCTCAAGTCGCAGCGTACGTGTTGCTCCGCCATCCGAGAACAGTTGTAACCTTTTTTTCCGTGTTTCCCGCCTCTCACCGTTGTCGTCATCTCTTCCGTCTTCCTCCGTTCCCCCCGGTCCACCCCGTCCAACTCCGTCCACCTCCGTCCACCTCCGTCCGTCAGTGAACGTTCTCCGTCAGCTCGGCGCGCAGTCGGGCGGCGAGTTCGCGGGGTTCAAGTCGTGGACGGCCGGCGGCTCGCCCGCCAAATGCGCCACGTACTTCGGAGTGACGTGCGACGCGGCAGGCAACATCGTCGCCATGTGAGTGCCGTGCGATGCGGGTAGTAGTAGGGGGAGCGATCTTAATGTGGCAATCCCTGCCACGTGCGTCAATCACCTTGGGAAAATGATCTGCACTCAACTCAACCATCTTCCCCTCTTGACGTTTTCTTTTGAACGAGATTCTTCCAATTTCAAATGACCAGGTTACACTTACCGTCTCTGTGTTCCGTTCTTCCGTATTTACTAATTCCCTCTGCGTCTCGTGACGGTGGCATCTCCCTCTATTCTATCCCCCGCCTGCACTGCAGCAACGTGACAGGAGCGGGTCTCAAGGGCCCAATCGACGATCTCTCCAAACTCGCCGCGCTGGAATCGCTGTAAGACCGACTGCGTGCTGAGCGCCGTAAGATCGCTGCGCTGCGCTGTTGCTGCTCCTCACCTCACCGTTGCTGTGCTGTGTGGCGTGGCATGTTGAGCACTGACGCCCGCCCAGTGCCGTCTTGTCAAGTCAAGCTGCCCTGCCTCTTATGTCACCATCGCATCCTGTAACCTGCCACCTTGCTCCCCTAGCTCCCCCCCCTTCTCCCCTCGCACCCCCCTTGCTCCCCCGCCCACCATTTGATTCCCCACCCATCCCCTTTCTCCTCCCCCTCCCCCTCTTCTCCCTCCTCCCCGATCCCCCCCCCAGCGACCTGAGTCAGAACGGCGAGATTACGGCGTTGCCGGAGTCACTGGCGAAGCTTTTGAGGCCCTCATCCCTCCCTTCTTCCCTTTCCCCCCCAGCGACCTTTCCCCCACAGTCGCTGGCGCTGCATTTGAGGCGCCTCAGAAGTCCTTTCCGTTCCCTCCCCTCCCCCTTCCTCCCCCTCCCTCCTCCCGACCCCCCAGCGACCTGAGTCAGAACGGCGAGATTACGGCGCTGCCGGAGTCACTGGCGAAGCTCAAGAAGCTCAAACTTCTGTGAGTGCCCAGCGCAGTGCACTGCGGTGCTCTACGGCGCTCTACGGCGCTCTACGGCGCTCTACGGCGCTCTACGGCGCTCTACGGCGCTCTACGGCGCTCTACGGCGCTCTACGGCGCTCTACGGCGCTCTACGACGCTCTACGGCGCTCTACGGCGCTCTACGGCGCTCTACGGCGCTCTACGGCGCTCTACGGTGCTAGGCACAACGGTGGGCTCGTGGGCTGTGGTGGATTAACTCTTAACAGCCAGCCACTGTGTTGCACCGCATCCCCTTCAACGTTTCGATGGCCTTTCCTCACCGCCTCAACCTTGCTGCTCTACGTGGTGTAATTCCCCACCATTCCCCTCCTTTTTGGGCTGTTCAACCACCATTCCCCTCCTTTTTGGGCTGTTCAACCACCATTCCCCTCTTTTTGGGGCGATATGACCAGCATGTAAGGGCTAAAATGGCATTCAAGCCATTCAATGCACTCCTGTCAGCCTCACTCTCCCCCTCTTCGCTCCGCTTGTTGCGCATTAGTACCACCCGATCGCCACATCCTTCCAGAAATCTAGCGACTTCTGAGACGAATCAAAAACCAATCGTCACATCTTTCCAGAAAACTTAGCGGCCTTGCAATCACTCCACACCCCACCTCTCCTCCCTCTCGCCTTGCTCCTGATCACATCCCCCCGCCCCCCTGCCTCCCTCCTTCCCCCCAGCAATGTGAACAACTGCTGGATCGGGGGGCGTATCCCGCCCTTTCTCGGCCAACTCACTGCCCTCACATTCCTGTCAGTCACGCTGCTGTGCCATGCCATGCCATGCCGTGCCACGCCATGCTATGCTGTCCCATCCCATGCCATGCCATGCCATCCCATGCTGTCCCGTGCCATGCTATGCCGTCTCCACTAACCCTCACACACTGTCTGACAGTCTCAAATGCACCTCCCCTCCCTCCTCCCCTGCTTGCTCCCCCCCCCTGCTCCCCCCCCCCCCCTCCCGGCCCCCCCCCAACACGCTCCAATATCCCCCCTCGTGTGCCCCTCGTGTGCTGTGCCCCTCATGTGCCCCTCATGTGCCCCTCATGTGCCCCTCATGTGCCCCTCATGTGCCCCTCATGTGCTCGTGTGTGCCGCACAACAGGAGCATTGGTGGTAACCCGTTTGTGGGCGCGGTACCTTTCAGCTTCGGCAACCTAGTCAACCTCATCTCCCTGTAACCATCCCGCCTCGTTACAAGCATCCTGGTCTCGCTACAAGCATTCTGGTTTCTCTATAGTTGTTCTGATCTGGCTACATAAGCATTCTGGTCTTCGTCTGTCAATGATCTGGTTTCACCGATTCAGCCCAGCAACATATTTTGTTCCGTCCTGCACCGTTTTTCCTCCGCCCTGCCCCCTTGTTCCGCCCTGCCCCTTTTTTTCGCCGCGCCCCCTTGTTCCGCCCTGCCCCCTCTCTCGTTTCCCTTCCCCCCTCCTCGTCCTCCCTCTTTGCACCCGGCCTGTCCGAAAAAAAAATCAATCCTTGCTTTTTCTTTCCGTTCCTTTTCCCACCCTCCTTCGATTCCGCCCTGGCAGCAACATCGCAGCAACAGGCATCGAAGGCGTGGGAGGCGCCCTGCCGTCCAGCCTTTCCAGCCTGACCAAGCTCAAAGAGCTGTGGGTGCCTTGAGGGGGAGGGGTTGGGGGGTGTTGGGGAAGAGGTGGGGAGGGAGGCGGGAACAGGTGTCGACGGCGTGGGAGGCGCCCTGTCGTCCAGCCTTTCCAGCCTGACCAAGCTCAAAGAGCTGTGCGTGCCTCTGGGGGGGACGAGGGGTCGAGGGGGAGGTTGTTGGGGGAGGAGAGTGTGGGAGAAGCGCAAAGAGTAGAGAGGAAGAGGAAACTTGATGTCCTTTGGCTTATATCTTCTGGAGAAGCTGAGTGAATCGCCAGTGCAGGGAGGTGGCTGGCAGGGGAGGGGGGGAGAGGACAGGGGACGAGAAAGAGAACACACCGACCTACCCTGTGGCTTGGCCATTGGAAAACTGGCTGACAAGTGAAAAGAGGCGTGGGTGCGGAGACAGGGGAGGAAGACTTAAATTGAGACGAAGGGAGATGGTGGGAGCAGCGGCTACCCCTCTCAGAGTGAAATGAGGGTGTTTTTGAGACGTCCCTAATACGCCCTCATTTCAGGGGAGATGGTGGGAGCAGCGGCTACCCCTCTGCTCCGCGATTCTCGCCACCAACACCTTTGCCCAGTTACTATCACCTCAGTTGCTCGGTTTCCAATCGTCGCATCCCCATCTTTCCCCCTACCCTGCCCCTGTGTGCGCCCACTCCTTCACCCTCTCACTCTCCTCTCCCCTCTCCCTTCACCTTTCCCCTGCCCCCTATGCTCTCTCCCCTGTCTTCACCTCTCCCCTGCCCCCTCTGCTCTCTCCCCCATCCCTTCTCTTCTCTCCCTTCTCCTCCCCGCCCCACCCACTCCCCTCTCCCCTTTCAATGTCAGCTATCTGCGCAAGAACCGGTTCAAGGGGCTGCTGCCAGCCTTCCTCGGCACATTCACTGACCTTCACCTCTTCCCCCCAACCTTGCCTATCCTCTCCCTCCCCTTCCCCTCTTCTCACTCACCTCTCCCCCTCCCATCGCCCCCCTTCCCTCAGCTATCTGCGCAAGAACCGCTTTAAGGGCCCGCTGCCAGCCTTCCTCGGCACATTCACGGACCTGGAGCACCTGTGAGTGCTGGGTGCTGTTGACAGCAGCAGCTGCGAGTGGCAAGAGCAGCTGCGAGTGCGGTGAGGTGCATTCACCTAGTGAGAGAGAGCTCTGTGCGGGAGTGGGTGAGAGCGAAATGGATGAGAGTGCTAGTGGCTTGTGGGTGCTAGCCTCACCTTCCTTTCTCTTGCTTATGCCGCACACTCACTCGCTCACTCACGCCCATCCCTCCTCCCTTCCCCCATGCCCATCCCCCAGCGTGGTGAGCACCAACTACTGGACAGGTACCATCCCCACGGCACTATCGAACCTCAAGAAGCTCAAGAACCTGTGAGTCACGCTCACACCTATCACCCTCCCTTTCACTCTCAAACTCAGCAACCTTGCTGTGACGGGTTTTTTTTTTTTTTTTTTTTTTTTTTTTTTTGAGGCGCCTCAGAAATCGTCTCAAGTACCTGCATGAGTACCGCTGCTTAGGTCTCGGTCTTTACCTACTTCCCCATGTCTCTATCCCGACCAATTCCCTCCCTCCCTACTTCCCCTCCCTCTCCTTCCCTCCCTCCCCCCGCCCCTCTCTCCGCCTCTCTCCCAGGGGGCTGAGGGAGACCACACTAGAGGGCGAGATCCCAACGTTCCTGGGCACAATGGCCCAGCTCACATACCTGTAAGCTCACAACACTCTTGCCGCCCTCCGCCGCCCTCTCACCTCCCCCTCACCTCCCCCTCACTGCCCTCTAATTGCCCTCTTCCCATCTCCTCTCTCTTACGTCCCTCTTCCCCACCAACCCCCTTTTCCCCAACTGCCCTCCCCCTTGTTCCCCCTCTTTCCCCCACCCCCACCTCGCCCCCACGCAGCTCCCTGTCTGACACGCGGCTGTACGGCGAGCGCCCAGGGCGCTCAACGGCCTTGCCAACCCCTTTTACCCCAAGCTTCTCACCCTCTCCCTCACCCTGTGCCCCCTCTTTCCCTTCTCCCCACCGCAGCTCCCTGTCCGACACGCGGCTATATGGGGAGGTGCCCAGGATGCTCAACGGCCTTGCCAACCTCCTTTTCCCAACTCTCTTCTCCCTCCCACTGTTCTCCCTTTTTCCCCCACACCCACCCCCACCCCCAACTGTGCACGCAGCTCCCTGTCCGACACGCGCTTGTACGGGGAGCTGCCCAGGCCACTCAACAGGCTTGTTAACCCCCATGACCGCATCTCCCCCCTACTCCTTTCCACCGTTTCCCACCCCCAACTGTGCACGCAGCTCCCTGTCAGACACGCGGCTGTACGGGGAGGTGCCCAGGGCGCTCAACGGCCTTGCCAACCTCAGAGAGCTGTGAGGCTTGGTGGGGAAGGGCAGAGGGGACGGGGAGATTGGGAGGCCAAGGGGTTGGGGGGGTGGGCGGGCAAGGGAGAGGGGAGGGGCGGGTAGAGGGTAGGGTGGACAGGGGAGGTGCCCAGGGCGCTCAACGGCCTTGTTAACCTCAGAGAGCTGTGAGCGTTAGGGTGGAAGGGCAGAGGGGACGGGGAGACCGAGAGACCGGGATGGGGTGGGGGGAGGACGCAAGGGAGAGGGAAGGGGGGGTAGAGGGTGGACAGGGGAGGTGCCCAGGGCGCTCAACGGCCTTGCCAACCTCAGAGAGCTGCGAGCGTTAGGGTGGAAGGGCAGAGGGGACGGGGAGACCGAGAGACCGGGATGGGGTGGGGGGAGGACGCAAGGGAGAGGGAAGGGGGGGTAGAGGGTGGACAGGGGAGGTGCCCAGGGCGCTCAACGGCCTTGCCAACCTCAGAGAGCTGTGAGGCTTAGGGTGGGAAGGACAGGCGGAGGGGTAGGGGGTAGGGCAGGTAGAAGGCAGGGAGACCCATGTCATAGCTACCATTTCCCTAACCCTTGACTCAATCATCTTCCCGTCCACCCTCATAGCCTCCACCATATCATTTCTCACCCAGCACTTCCATACCCCTCTGCACCCCATCCTACCCTACCGCACTGCAGGTATCTCGAGAACGGATGGTTCTACGGCCCCCTGCCTGACCTCACCGGTCTCAAGAAGCTCACTCAAATGTACTGTGCCTGCACCCCTGCGCCCTTGCACCCGCCTGCTCACTGCCTGCCCCCTACACACTGCTTGCCCCCTACTCACTGCTTGCCCCCTACTCACTGCTTGCCCCCTACACACTGCTTGCCCCCTACTCACTGCTTGCCCCCTACTCACTGCTTGCCCCCTACACACTGCTTGCCCCCTACTCACTGCTTGCCCCCTACTCACTGCTTGCCCCCTGCTCACTGCTTGCCCCCTACTCACTGCTTGCCCCCTGCTCACTGCTTGCCCCCTGCTCACTGCTTGCCCCCTGCTCACTGCTTGCCCCCTACTCACTGCTTGCCTGCCTGCTCACTGCTTGCCTGCCTGCTCACTGCTTGCCCCCTACTCACTGCTTGCCCCCTGCTCACTGCTTGCCCCCTACTCACTGCTTGCCCCCTACTCACTGCTTGCCTGCCTGCTCACTGCTTGCCCCCTGCTCACTGCTTGCCTGCCTGCTCACTGCTTGCCTGCCTGCTCACTGCTTGCCTGCCTGCTCACTGCTTGCCCCCTACTCACTGCTTGCCCCCTACTCACTGCTTGCCCCCTACTCACTGCTTGCCCCCTACTCACTGCTTGCCCCCTACTCACTGCTTGCCTGCCTGCTCACTGCTTGCCTGCCTGCTTCTAATTGCCTGCTTATGTCCATTCATTCCCTGCCTGACCTCACCGGCCTCAAGAAGCTCACCCAAATGTACCCTGCCTGCCCTGCCTTCCCGCCCCGCCTGCCCGCCTGCCCGCCTGCCCGCCTGCCCGCCTGCTCACTGCTTGCCTGCCTGCTCGGTCCCTGCCCGCCTGCTTCTGCATTCCATCTCATTTCTCCTATCATCCCATGCTGCGCTTGGCTGCCATTTCGTTTTTCTAAGATCTTAAATCTCCTTGCTGCCTCCACACACACCTACATTTTCCACCTCTCCCTCTCCTTTTACCTTTCTCCTTCCAACACCTCTCTCTCCCTCCAACACCTCCCCATCTGCCACCCTCAACTCCTCCCTGCAGCGACCTCTCCGAGAACTACTTCTCAGGTCCGCTCCCCTCCTTCCTGCGTCAAGTCAAGCAAGTCAACGCGGACAGCAACTACTTCTCAGGCTCTGCCGCCGCCCTCCCCTGCTCCGACCTCTTCTCAGTCAACGGCAACTGCCTCTCCTCCGTCCCCTCCCAGTGCGGGTGACCCGCCGCCCAGAAAACCCCGGCGGAATGCAGCAAGTTTTGTGGGACGGGGGCGGCAGGTGGGGCGTGCAGCGGCAAGGGCGTGTGTGTGCCAGACATGCAGAAGATGCTGAGCTCTCAGGCGTTTGTGCCGGTGTGCAAGTGTGCGGCGGGGTTCCTGCCTACGCAGAATAAGCTGGGTTGCGTGAAGAAGTGAGGGTGGAGTTAGGTCGACGCGCGTTCTGAGTCGAGTCGACTCAGAACGCGCGTGTGTGTTTTAGACATGCAGATTATGTTGAGTTCGCAGGCGTTCGTGCCGGTGTGCAAGTGTGCGGAGTGGTTCCGGGCTACACAGAATACCGTATTCTCCCGGACAAAACACCCCCCCATAATTGTACACCCCCGGGTAGCTTGTGCGGGGTGGGTGTTATGATAGACCTCGTTTCTACTATACCCCCCTTTTTGGCTGATTTTCTATAACACCCCCTTCTTCTTACGGATTCATTATTGTAGTCGTTAACGAGTAGCTGCAATTCGGAAGAATATCGCGTGAATTTCTCCCTCGATGAAATTTCGCGGTACATTCAAATGCAATCTACCGAGATTTGCCCCCTCCCACTATTTCGCTGTCGCCACGTGCAGGTGAATCTTCCGCTGCAAGTGGCAAGAGAGGTGCCACATGGCATTTTCGTGGGGGTGATGAAGTTCGAGGCCAAAACTCGCATTCGCGCCTCAGGCAGTGATGTTAAAATGACCAGCAAAACACCCACATTGACAATTAAAAAAAACACTAACACTAAAATATGCCATATGTAAAGACCCGGGTATTATGTATTTTTTTCCTATGAGGAGACCCCCCCCATTTTTTCCCTGTATTTTTAGCTATACCCTAGGGTGTTATGTCCGGGAGAATACGGTAAGCTGGGTTGCGTGAAGAAGTGATGGTGGCACGGTGGTGTGGTTAGAATAAAGACTGGAAGGGGAAACCCTCTTCCAGTGATGCAAAGGAATTGGAAGCAGAAATAAAGGCTACCAGCTTTGTCTCCATTCTTATCGTATTGAGTTTACAATGTCACTTCTGCAAATGCAGCATGGAACCTCTTGTTGATTCAAAGGCACCATTATATTAAAGCAAGGGTGTACTTTGGGGGGGTGGAGGCAAAGGTTTATCACTTGCCTCCAGGCCCTACGATATCAGGAAATTTTCCCTGAAATTCCTTATTTCCAGGGTTTTTTTTTAACCTACACTGATTTTCCAGTGTTCAGCTTTTTGTGGGGCTGATTTTTCAGCCTTCACCTAGCACATGACTCTGAACTTTCAGCAATTTTTTTTTAGTGACACTGATTCCACTACGTTGTAACGAATCCGACCCTGAAAGCGATTCCTACACGGTTCGTGTGTAGTTGCTCGGCTGTACAGGGAATATCAGATTCCCGCGGTGTCAGCAGGGCGTGGCGGTGAGTAGCAGACAAATTTGCCTCGTAGAGGGATGCGTTGTTGGCGCGCGTGGTGCGATGATTGGTCACTTTGACAGCATTTCCTGATTTGGCCAATTACAGGGTTGCAGCACAGCGATGCTGGCAGGCAGCGCAACGAGGGATTCAGGCCCATGTGAAGCACCTGTGGTCCTCTGGCCCGTTTTGTCTAAGTCGTGCTGGCAAGCACGGATGCATCCACGCCGCCCAACCGTGCTGCCAGCCATCCAGTCTCCCACCCCAGTCTGCTCCATGCTTTCCTTCCATCTAGCAAGGGTAAGGTTTCATCGCGTTGCTGCCTGGTGTACCAAGAGGCAGTCAGCCGTGTGTCCTCTCTTCCTGGCAAACCTCCATCGTTCAGCTAGCTAGGGAGTCGTGTTAGATGCTGCTTGTTCACAGCGCAATCAATGGCGGACCACCCGGACGCCATTGAACGACCTGATGACCCCGGCGATGAACCAGCTCGTCGTTCGCCAATTGATCTGTCCGCGGCCGTTACCGGGCTGGATCTACTATTCTCCAACTTAGCGGCAGTAGATAACCATGGAAAGGCGCCTGCAGTCGCGCCGACCGTCGATGTTCAATTTGAACCCATCGACGAGCCTCTGTGTCCCTCCCCTACTGCGCCCGTATTGGAGCAAGACAGCTCCAACCCTTCAGGTGAAGAAATCGCGGCGGTGCCAGTGGCTAAGAAGTCCGCCAGGTACACGCAGTCAACGCTGCCGTGGCCCAAGAAGGGAGGTCCCGCTGGTGCAACACCGGCTTCGCCAGCCGACCAACTGTCGACGCCCGCGACCGCAGGCACGCAGGCGTCACCCTCAACACCTGGGCCTTCTAAACCAGCAGGGCCAGACGCATCCTACGCGGAGGCTCTGTATAAGTACAAAAGCGAGTGGCTCGAGCGGTTTTCTTGGCTTATTCTGCTAAAAAAAGCTGACGGTTTCCCCGCTTTCAAATGCAGCATCTGTACGGAGCACGCAGGCTACGCTGGACCGTGCGGGAGAGGCGGAAAGGGCGCCACAGACGTTCAGACGCAGGCGTTCAAACGGCATGCGGCAACTACCAAGCACAAGGAGGCGTTGAAACACCAGCAGAAGCTTCTCGACGACGCCGCTACGCAGCCACGGATCAACGGCGACAATCTCGCTCGCGACACGGAGAAGGAGCGGGTCGTTAAGCTCCTCGACTCCCTGCTCTTCGTGACCAAGCAAGATGCACCCATAGAGTTATGGGTGAATCTTGTGCGCTACCTCGCGCGACTCAAGGTGCCCGGGTTCCCAGCAAAAGGCTACGGAACCTATTATACTACGTGAGTGTTGAATTAATCTAACTACAACCGTGTTTGTGAAAATCAACCGGATTATCTGATGTTGTGTTGTTTGACATGCGCTGCAACTACGGCTTCGGGCAGCTGACACAGTCGATGGCCACATGGTTGCACACAACCCAACTGCAGCACATCCTCAGCAGCCCATACATTGGCGTCACGTGCGACGAAAGCACGGACAGGTGTCGGGGAAAGCATATGATTGTTTTCGCGACATTCATCCGTGAAAATCGTCCCGTGACTGAGTTCCTTGCCCTGCTGACCGTGGAGAAGGGCGATGCAGCCTCTCTCCTCTCAGTGCTCTTGTCCCACCTGCAGGCCCTAGGCATTGAACTGGCGAGGATATCCGGCATAAGCACTGACGGAGCGAGTGTGATGATGGGGAAACACAACGGCCTTGTCGCTCGACTTCGCCTCCGCATCCCGCATCTTGTTTCGAGCCACTGCATCGCCCACAGGTCAGTTTTCATCTTCTGTTTACTGCTTCCATACAGTCCCTGCTGCATCCCCTGCTAACCCCTCCTTGAGCCGGTTTTAATGCTAGTGTGCATGCAGGGAGGCCCTCGCAGCAAAGGACGCCGCTGAACAACTCCCCGAGTTCGGCATGGTGGACTCCCTGCTCCGCCAAGAGGCAGAGCATTTGGGGCGTTCTGGCCCGTGGCATCAACGCTTCATTGGCCTGCAGGAGGTGTTCACGAAAACAAACCTGGAGCTACAAGGGATCCACGACGTCCGCTGGCTCTCCCGCGGTGACGCCATTCTGCGCGCGGTAGAGGTCTTCCCCGCGCTGATCGTGATGCTGTATGAGTGGGACAGCACCCTCTACGAGCTCGCCACGAGCTACAGGTTTCACTTTCTGCTATACTTCCTTGCAGACGTCCTCGAGCAGCTCAATGTGCTGAACAGGGCATTCCAGCAGCGTGAGGTGAGCTTGGTTACTATCGTTGCTGGATTGTGTGCCTTGTTTCGGATTGTGAGTCACTGTTTGATGTACTGCTTAAGCAGAATCTGCTTTGCACTGATTTGGCCTTCTCTCCATCCTCTGTTCGCCCTGTTGACCCCTAACAGCTGGACATTGCAAGTGTCCACGGGCAGATCCGCCGGTCAATTTCATTCCTAGAGTGCCGCTACGTCGACTGTGGTGACGACTTTGGAGGCGGGGTGAGCGCGCGCCTCTCCCCGTTCATCAAGAAGCACGGGCCTGAGGGGGGCAATCCCGAGGTGAAGGTGCAGGGAGTCGACTCGGACGGGCGGCCCACGACACACACCTTCGAGCTGCACGAGAAGCCGAGCGAAGACTACCCAACCCTCGGCTCCCACGACGCCTGCGTCGATCTCTGCACCACCTTCGCCGAGACGCTCGTGCAAAACCTCAGCACACGGTTCAAGGACCTGGACTCCCTGGTGGGAGTGCGGCTGTTCATGCCTGACGAGTGGGAGCTGGGGAGAGCGGAGCGCCACAGGCAGTGTCTCGAGTGGCTCGAGTCTCTCTGAGGCTGTTCAGGGCACAGGACACGGACTACATCATTCCAGGTATTCCCGCTCTCGCACTGTTGCTGTCCGTCTTATTGTGTCATTGCATTTCATCAACGTATGGTGTACGCACTTGCCAGCCTTTCAAAAACCCCCTCTCTCTCCCTTCCGCATTATGTGGCAGGGGTCGACAAGCGGCGTGCATTCAAGGAGCTGCGGGCCTTCTGCCCCATCCTCGCAGGTGCCCCGAAGAACGAGCGGAGCTTCCACGCAGGCCTAACAGCAATGCTGAAGACAAGCGACTGGGCGACTAGCTACCCCAATCTGGTGCGTCTCTGGGTGGCTGTCGCCGTGCTGCCGCTGAGCACAGTGGAGTGTGACCGCGGCTTCTCACGCCAAAACGTTATCAAATCGTGGCAGCGGGGGAGCTTGAAGGACGCCCGCCTCGAAGACCTCGTCACCATGTCTCTACTCGAGTACGAGCCCAACTACGATGAGGTGGTGCAGATCTGGCACAGCTACAAGAAGCGCCGCCCATTCGGCAATGTGGCGGCACCACCCGAAAGAGAGGGAGAGGGCAGGGATAGCACGGGAAAGGAGGCCCTAGAGGAGGAAGAGTGGGCAGAACGACAGGCTAAGGGAGAGAAGATGATGATGACAAGCAGGCCTCATCAGATGATGATTACTGAACTCACCCAGACCCAGAATCATGCTGGATGCAATGCATAGCTAGCTAGCAAGCAAGATAGGCTTTGGTTTACAAATTACAACACAGATAGATAGATTGAAGGCTGTTTGCGACCTTCATAGAGTTTTAAGTTAAAAAAACCAGCTTCACTACTATCAGCCTTTTTCTATAGGTGACACTGATGCATCAGACTTTTTTTTTAAGTAACACTGAACTTTCAGGCTTTTTTCCTAGGCGACCCTGTCGATCAGGGTCTAGGGGCAGAGGGACCCTGATACCCTTACGTGCCTCAAAGTGAATCTGAGGGCCTGCTTGCCTCCACGTGGTTACCCAGTTTGTGGCTGGGGGTCAGACACGAACAAATATTTTGTGGCTGGGGGTCAGACACGAACAAATATTTTGTGGCTGGGGTTCAGACACGAACAAATATTTTGTGGCTGGGGGTCAGACACGAACAAATATTTTGTGGCTGGGGGTCAGACACGAACAAATATTTTGTGGCTGGGGGTCAGACACGAACAAATATTCAGTGTTGGCGGAGTTGTGCGGGGTACTCTCGACATCTTGGCTGTGCAGCTCGCACTAGCTTTACAATTCTTGGACACTTCGCCAACGAATTAGCAGGCATCAAAGGGTGTACCCTAACAATGCCGCCAAAAACCAACCCTACAGATGTGCACCCTTGCTTTAAGTAAGGTGTGTCAAGAGTGTATTCATGCCTGGATGAAGCATGCTCTACAAGATGGTCTGAGCAAGCTCTGACAATATGGCCAGTATTTACAATGCAAAATGCAATTGCATTCACAGTGTACCGAAAACACTACTTCTCGTTGGTTGATTAGTTGTTTCGCCAAACAGCAGCAACAAGCTCCGTCGCCAACCGCCTGTCATGCATATCACTGCTCTCAATCATTTCCTGGAGGCATGCAGGAACTGGTTAGGGTACATTCCGCTGTGGACACATGTCCCAATCGATGTGTCCCAATCGAGTGTACCGCTCCGAACCGAACTAAACCAGAGATGCGAAAATTTCGAAACTAGGGTGCAATTTGGTGTAATACGATGCAGTGCGGTAGAAACGATTGGGACACATCGATTGGGACATGTGTCCACAGCGGAATGTACCCTTAGAGCGTATTCCTATCCTCGTATCAAGAAAACCTCATATCAACCTCCCACTGAAAATTCCCCTAAACCCAAAACCTCTCGCTACTTTTACCAGGCAAAAAGTACAATCTTGATATGAGGTTTTCTTGATACGAGGATAGGAATACGCTCTTAGTATGATGACGAAACATCATCAATGTCAGGGTGATGCAATATGGCAAGCAACACTATATGCAAACTAAAGCGCACATGGCATTACCTTCACGAGCCCTTGGCTGCTCTTGGCATCCATGAAGTGCAAAATGTGTTGCATCAAGGCCTGTTTTGTCTGTGCTGCGCCAACCCTATCCACAGCTTTTAGCACACGAAGAAGTGAGCGCTCATCCACTTCTAATGTGGACAATTGGCAGTCCAGGTTCTGTGCTAGATCAGCCACGTCATACTTACTTATGCGCAGCTTCTAGTAGTGCAACGCCATGATGCTGACGACATGAGAAAAGAACACCATGAACAGGTGGCCAATGGGAAGCAGCTGCATGCGGCATGTCTATTAAACAACAGTCTAGTTGAAACCGCAAGTTATAAGGGCCACCACACAGCTCAAGGACAGTGTTGTGTGTTTGTAAATGCATCATGTAATTGGCACATACCTTGAGAGCATCAGCATCAAAGAGCACGTCCGAGCAGCCATACATGAACAACAGAAGCAGCCTTAGCGTGCAGCCATCCATATCAGTCAGCCTGAATACTGGATCCCTCTCATCCCCCGCTTCCTCTATCATTGACTGTAACACTGTCGACCTGAACGGAAAACACATAATATGTACACCATTATATAATTTACAGAAGAATGAGAGAGAGCTGCATTACCACTACATACCATGCTTCGTTGAAACATTACCACATGGCAACGATGCTGCGGTGTGCACGAATCGTAGTACCATCGCAAGCCTCAAAAACCACATTTGTGAACTTCTCTCGGTCAAAAAGGTCCTTAAGCTTGGAGGAAAGGTGGGAATCCTTAGCTTCCCTGACTTATTTAGCACACATGCAAAAGAACGGGGAAAAAACCAGTGCATGTGTCAAATCCGAAAGAAGCAAGTACAGGACAACATAAAGCACTAGAAGTATTTTTTTCAGTGACATGCTCGTGATGATGCATGGAAACTATCAGCTTCTACTAAGGCCAGAGGCGACCCACCTAGGTGGCTCAGGTAAAAAGACCTTGGAAGCTCGTTTCCTGCACAAGTGCAAGAAGAAGAGTGAGCAGGAAGCAACGAACAGAAACGGAACCACAAGTTTTTTCACTGTAGAATGTAGTACATTCTACGTGGAAATGGAACCTAGCGACCATCAGATAATAGAAAGTGGATACCCTCCCCAATTGCATACACACCTTGACGACCCATAACGGCCGTTCCTGTGGTCCTCTGGACTGGATCGGTGCAAAAGAAGAGGGAGGATTCGAAAACGAGCGGGGAAACGATGAAGGGAAGACACCACCGTGAAGACCGCAAACTTGGAAAGAGGCATGAGTGCAACACTCACTCATCCATCCATCGTGACTCATGAATTCGTCGTGACATTCTTCCACGTCGTGACATACGTCGTGATCAACGAGATGCCAACGAAACAACAGGTACCGACCGGTTAATGCTGGCCCGAACAAATGGACAGACCCTACTAGGGTATCATCTAGTACCGGTAACTTAAAGCGTGCATCGCAATGTCACACGCATCTCCATACGACTAAAGAGATATCGCCAACATCTCGCGAAGACAGGAGCCTGGAAGGCGTGGGACGGGGTGGCTGGAAAGAGTAGCACGGGCATCGAAGAGAAGCGACTCTCAATCTCGCGCAGCGTAAAACTCGTGCATGCATGATCGCAGACGTTGCGAGGCTGGGTGCTCGTCGGATATCGGATTTTGCAACAACCGTCGGATTGACGGGGAAGTCAGCGGCTGTGAGCTGCAGCGCGTTGGAGAAGAATGCCGCTGCTCTCAGCTCGCGCGTTTGGCGCAAGGGAAACAATGTAGAGGGAAGGGTTTGGCGACAAGTGTAGAGTACATTCGTGCATGTCGAGAATAGTTGATTTGGCGAGCGACACTTGAGGCGGGTACAACTGGACATTCGTCGTGAACATCTCGCGAAGAGATCTCGACAGTCTGCGATATGTAAGAAAGGGGAGCTGTTGCATATTAACAGAAACTATAGAGCAATTTTATAACTATAATTTATTGTATCGATTGCAGACACATCAAACCTCATGGCCAAACATGTCACCACAATATGGATTCTGGAATGAACCATGTTCTTGTGCATATTATGTACATTGATGCCCTGCGAGTCTGCCCTACTCTAATAAGAGAAATGATAGCCTTCTATTCAATCCAACGTTACTCATCATACATTCGAAATAACATGGAACACTATATACACTATGCACAAAAGAGGATGGGCGCAGAATGTACACACGATCATGCTGATAGGCCCCTGAAGTGCGACCTGAGGCCCTGCCAGCACTGGTACTACTCGGCGTCTAGCAGGGGCGAGTTGAGCGTGGTCTCTGCGATGCACGGTGTGAAGCACGACTCTTGAATGAACGCAAGCGATCCCTTCAGAGTCGACCCAAAAATGACGGATGTAAAATGTACACAAGCTCAGGTTGACAGGCCCGTGAAGTGCGAGCGGAGGCCCTGCCAGCACTGGTAGTAATCGGCATCCAGCAGAGGCGAGTTGAGCATGGTGTGTGTGACGCGCGGTGTGAAGCACGACTCCAGCATGAACGCCAGTGACCCCTTGTGGACTTGTTCCGGCTTGCTGTCTCCCTCCTCTGCCACGGCTCGCTGCTTGGGGGAGAGAGAGATATGCAGGGGGGCAGGGCGTGGAGGGCCAGAAGACAATGCTCAGGAAGTGGCATGCACAAAAGAAGCACCGGGCAGGGGCGAGTTGAGCATGGTGTGTGTGACACGTGGTGTGAAGCACGACGCCAGCATGAACGCTGGCGAGCCCTTGTGGACTTGTTCCGGCTTGCTGTCGCCCTCCTCTGCCACGGCCCGCTGTATTGGGGGTGAGGGGCGTCACGGGTTGGGGAGTGGGGTGGGTGAGGAGGACAGTGCACTCCACAGGACTAACGCCAACACCCCTTCTCACCTCCAAGGTGGCGGTGACGGGGTTGTGGGGCGTCATGCAGCTGTGCAGACTAGGCAGCACAATACAAGTGAAGCCAGCACTGATGGAAGCATGGCTAGACTAGGAGCACATAGGCACATTCACGGCAGTACGACCAAGGAATAGGCATCCCTCGCATCTCAAAGGTGGCGGTGTTAGTGTCAGGGCCATGGGGCGTCATGCAGCTGTGCAGACGTGGAAGCACATTTACAAAATCAGAGGCAGTACTGAAGGCAGCACTAGAGCCAACACCCCTTCTCACCTCAAAGGTGGCGATGTCAGGGCCGCGGGGTGTCATGCAGCTGTGCAGACACGGCAGCATTCATGCATACACATCAAAGGCAGTACTGAAGGCAGCACTAGAGCCAACACCCCTTCTCACCTCAAAGGTGGCGGTGTCGGGGCCGTGGGGTGTCATGCAGCTGTGCAGACTCGCTCCCCCCGGCTCAAAGCCCTCCGCCTTGGCCTGACCGTATGGTCGGAAAGGGAGAGACGGAGAGATGTGAGAGGAGGTGAGAGGGAGAGGGTAAGCATGAAGTGGGTGGGTAGGAGTGAGGGTGGGGCGTCATGCAGCTGTGCAGACTTGCTCCCCCCGGCTCAAAGCCCAAGCCCTCCGCCTTGGCCTGAACGTCTCCCAGCAAGGGGGACAATGGAGGGGGTTTCAGGGGAAGGGGGAGGGGGAGGGGGAGGGGGAGGGAGGGGGTGGGAGGGGGAGCGGAGGGGAAGGGGTAGATGAGAGGAGGAGGGTGGGGGTGAGGGCATGGTAGAACCAACTATGTGGTAAAAAATGCAATGAAGGCCCAACATATGGCCTCAAACATCCAAATTACATGGCGCATACATTCACCTCATACGCTCCGTAAGAAGGCCATGATTGCAGTCACCTCAAAGCCCACCTTTAGAAATCCACCAACGCACTTCATACATCCCTGTTACAAACCCCATGACCTGACTCCATTTAAGGCATCAATGTTACAAGCCCCATGACCTCACCTCGTACACCCCCATTATAATCCCATGAATGACCTCACCTCATGTCCCCGCTATAAGCCCCATAAACTCACCTCATACGGCCACCCCACCACCTCACCTCACCCATACAAGCCCCATGAACTTGCTCATGCCAATGCGGTGGAAGTAGGGTGAGCGGAATGTACCCTCCACCTCTCACCTCGCGCATCCCCTTTATAAGCCCCATAAATGAAATCACCTCATACGTCCCCGTTTTAAGTCCCATGAACTCGCTCATGCAGTTGCAGTGGAAGTAGGGCAGGCAAAACGTTCCCTCCACCTCTCATCTCGTGCGTCCCCTTTATAAGCCCCTGAACGAACTCACCTCGTACACCCCCGTTATAAGGCACACAAGCTCACCTCATACATCCCCGTTATAAGCCCCATGAATTCACTCATGCAGTTGCGGTGGAAGTAGGGCGGGCGGAACGTGCCCTCCGCCACAGCCCAGCGCGGGGGGAAGAGAATAAAGTCAACTGCTGCCACGCCTGGGCGTGTGGTGGGGCAGGTGAGCACTGCAGGAGATTGGAGGGAGCAGGAAAGGAGGGGAGAGTGGATGGAGAAGAGGAGGGTGAGGGTAGGAGGCTCGGGTGGACGGAAGACGGCTGGCAGGGAAAGAGAGGGTGAACGTAGGGCAGGCTGGAAGTAGGGGAAGGGATTGACGGGAGGGGGTGATGGTGGTGGAAGTAGGGCGGGCGGAACGTGCCCTCTGCCACGGCCCAGCCCTGCGGAAGAGAACAAAATCAACGGCTGGTACCCCTGGGCGGGTGGTGGGGCAGGTGAGCACTGCAAGGGTGGTTCGGGGGCAAGAAAGAGTGGGAGAGAGGAGGAAGGCTGGGATGGAGGTCACGTCACACTGCCCAGCGCGGCAGAAAGAAAACAAAGTCAACCGCTGCCACCCCTGGGCGTGTGTTGGGACACGTGAGCTCTGCAAGCAGGAGGGTAGGGGAGGAGACGGCAGGGTGTGGAGAGCAGATGGCCAAGCGTGGTGGGAAGCGCACCAAGTCCATCCCACCACTGCAGATGGTCAACCGCTGCCACTCCAGGACGCGTGATGGGGCAGGTGAGCACTGCAGGGGGTTGGTGACGGGGGGAGCAAAAGAGAGAACAGTGGGTGGAGTAGAGGAGGGGTGACGGTAGGAGGCAGGGAGATGAGTTGAAGAGTAAGAAGTGGCTGAGGAGAGAGAATGGGAGCGGGGGGTGGGATAATCGATGGGTGGAATGGGATAGAATGGGATAGAATGGGGTGATCCATGCGTGGAATGGGGATAGTGGAGGGTGGGAGCACAAAACGTGGTGGGCAGCCGGCAGGGGGCGAGAGGTACAGGTGATGGAGAGGAGGGTGCAGTTGGTGGTGGGGTCAAGTGCGGGTGGAGAGGAGCGCACCTGTGAAGATGGAGGGGTCGGGATGGTCGAATGCGACGGCGTTCATGGGGCAGAAGCGAGTCAGATCGTACTGTGAGGTATGCAGGCAGGGGGAAAGAGGGACGAGAGTGGGGGTGGAGAGGATGGTAGAAAGGGTGAGGAGAGACGGTTTAATGCGACGGCGTTCATGGGGCAGAAGCGAGTCAGGTTGTACTGTGTGTACGGTGCGCAGGGGGAATGGGGGGCAAGGGGGGAAGGGATACAGGGGTACAGGGGTACAGGGGATTGGCGGCGAATGCCACGGCATTCATGGGGCTGTCATGTTCACGTGTGGAGGGAATCACTTGAGTCAAGTGATGCTGACGAGGTGACTTTTGAGTCGACTCAAAAGTCACCTCGGGAATCGCTTGAGTCAAGTGATGCTGACGGAACATGTTGAGGTGACTAATGAGTTGAACTATCAATTTTTGGGGCACGTGTGGGGCACTTGAGTCAAACTCATTAGTCACCTCCAAAAGCAAGTAGAGAGCTTCCTAGCAGTACAGGGTGGGTCACCTTGTAAGGAACGTAGTAGTTACCATGCCATGTGCGGACAGAACGTCCGTGCGGAGCAATCATAGGAAGATGACTTTTGACTCAGCTAAATATTCGCCTTGTAAAGGAAGCATTGAGTGCCCAAACAAACGGTGCAGAGTGCTCACCTTGTAAGGGACATAGTTGCCATGCCATGCCATGCCATGCCATGCCATGCCAAAACGTTTAAGGGCGAGAAGTCTTGCTTTATGGGAGGCACTATTGAGTGTTCTCGAAAGTGGCTCCCATACATGGGCGAGAAGTGGCAATGATGGCATCATGGCAGGTGCGGTCAGGGCATTCTTGGATTCCTCACCTTGTACGGAACGTAGTTGCCATGCCACGACGTTAAAAGGCGAGATGAGTCGGCTCAAAGGAAAGCATTGCAGCGTGCACTGCTCACCTACCAGCGTGCAGCGCTCACCTACCAGCGTGCAGTGCTCACCTACCAGCGTGCAGCGCTCACCTACCAGCGTGCAGCGCTCACCTACCAGCGTGCAGCGCTCACCTTGTAGGGAACGTAATTGCCATGCCATGCCACCACATTGAAGGGTGAGAAGTCCTGCCTCGCCTCAAACAGCCGCCCTGCAAACTTGTGGACCACCACGTACCCTCCTCCACCGCTCTGCACCATCCCTGCTCCACCGTTCTGCACCGCATCCAACCCAGCAGGAGCGGCGCCATTCTCGAACCACGCGGTGGGAGTCTGGAAGTCACGTGGATTGGCCAGCCCATTGGCACCTGGTGGTGGGTACAGAGAGCACGTAGAGAAGTGGAGAGGAGTGGAGAGGATTGGAGAGGAGTGGCGAGAGGTATGTGAGCCAGCAACTGCCATGTGATCATCAAACCATGCGGTGGGCGTCTGGAAGTCACGTGGATTGGCCAGCCCATTGACGCCTGGTGGGGGGGGGTTGGGGGAGCATGGAAGTCATAGAGAGGAGTGGAGAGGAGAGGGGAGGAGTGGAGGAGAGACACAGGGAGGCATGTGATGAGCCAGTAGCAGCATTGAGATCATCAAACCATGCGGTGGGCGTCTGGAAGTCACGTGGGTTGGCCAACCCATTGGCGCCTGGTGGGGGATAGGGGGCACCTGGGAGGTATGGAGAGGTCTCACCGATAGGGACGAGTTCAGGCAGTAGGAAGTGACCCTTACACACCTCGCACATACTGCCTCTGGGACGTAGAGTTGACTCAAGTCAAGAGCCTTACCTATAGGTCCGAGTTCAGGCAGTTGGCAGTTCAGACCCTCCACACACCTCGCACACATAGCCCCTAGCCCATCGCCCCTGAAGTTCGAGTCAAGTCAGAAGCCTCACCAATCGGGCCGAGTTCAGGCAGCTGGAAGTGCCCCCCATACACCTCGCACACACAGCCCCGGGAGGGGCCGTCAGGCAGGTGTACTGTGAAGCGCACCCCCTGCTGCGATGGGGCTGAGAAGTGTGCAACTTACCAATTGGTCCAAGTTCTGGCAGTTGGAAATGCCCTCCATACACCTCGCAGACGTAGCCCCGGGAGGGGCCGTCAGGCAGATGCACTGTGAAGCGCACCCCCTGCTGCAGCACTGCTATCTCGCCCGGGTGGACTGCTAGCAGCCCAAACTCCGTTGTGATCCACAGGCCTGAGGGAGTGGGGCGTGGGGGTTGGGCGGGGGGCATGGGGGCATTGGGGGTATTGAAATTGGGGAGAAGCGCACCCCCTGCTGCACTGCACCACTGCTATCTTGCCTGGGCGCACTGCCAGCAGCCCAAACTCCGTTGTGATCCACAGGCCTGGAGGAGTGGGGCGTGGGGGTTGGGCGGGGGGCATGGGGGCATTGGGGGTATTGGAAATGGGGAGAAGCGCACCCCCTGCTGAACCGCACCACTGCTATCTCGCCTTAACGCACTGCTAGCAGCCCAAACTCCATTGTCACCCACAGACCTGCAGGGGGGGACGGGGCGTGGATGGGGGAATGAGGTGTGAGGAGTGGGAAAGTGGGGGCATTGGATAGGGGAGAAGGGCATCCCCCTGCTCCACCACGTGACCTTTGAGTTGACTCAGAAGTCACCTCCATAGGGGAAAAGCGCACCCCCTGCTGCACCACTGCTATATCGTCTGGTGGCAGTGCCAACAGGCCGAATCCCGTTGTCACCAACAGACCTGCGGAAATAGGGTGTGGGAAGGAAGAGGGGACAATGAGGGCATGGGGGTGTTGGGAAAGGGGGAGAACCGCATCCCCTGCTGCACCACTGCCATATGTTCTGCTGCACCCTGCTACAGGTCTGCGGGGGTAAGGTGGGGGAGAAGGGGGGGATGGGGGAATGGGGCATGGGGGCGTGGGGGAGAAGGCGAAGGAGCGCATGGGCCCTATAGGTCCCGGGAAGTCGCTCGGATTGGGTAACCCAGTGGGGCTACCTGTCATCCATTGAGTGCCAGTGGTCTAGTGGTAGAATAGCACCCTGCCACGTCAGCACGGTGCAGACCCGGGTTCGATTCCCGGCTGGCACATGTTCACCTTTTGCCGCGTAGCGCTTTGTGGTCCCTGCATAAACCCACCCGTCTTTTCTAAAAATAACTTTCCACATTTTTTTCGCACTTGTGCATGTCCGTGATGCTGCTCCATACATGTGTGTATCGAAACAACTCCCATGGCTCGTGTGCCGGTAGTCTAGTGGCAGGACAGCATGTTGATTGTCATTGATGGGCAAACCCGGGTTCCGGCTGGCACAATTGAGTTTTGCCGCGTACCCGTTTCGTGGGCCCAACACTGATCCTTCAGCGCGCAAGCAAGAGGGCATGAGAAGGGAACTCACGGCCGTGCTACGAAACGATCAGCAGGTCCCCGTCCGCATCAGAATTTGGATGAAAGGGCAATGCAGTGGCGCATGCTATGGGGCATGGGGCAGTGGTCCAGTGGAGCATAGAATGGGCATGGGAACTCACGGCCGGCATGATCAGGCAGGTTCCCGTCTGAATTGAATGAATGAGAAGGGCATGAAAGAAAGGAGCATGGGAGGCCCGTGCAGTGGGGCATGCTGTGGGGCATGCTGTGGGGCATGGATGGAGGAGTGAGGTATGGAGACTCACGGCCGTGCTGCGGAACAATGAGCAAGTCCCCGTCCGCATTGGCGAATGCACATCGGTCCATGCTGCTGTTGGCTGCGTACCTGCCGTGCCGTGATGATACGTCATTCCATGCCATGCCGTCCCATGTTACGCCATGCCGTGCCATGCCACAATGCCATGATGCCATGCCAAACACATGTCATGCCAAACACATGTCATGCCACGTGATACCATGTCATGCCAAACACATGTCATGCCACGTGATACCATGTCATGCCAAACACATGTCTTGCCAAACACATGTCATGCCAAACACATGTCATGCCACATGATACCATGTCATGCCAAACACATGTCATGCCACATGATACCATGTCATAATGACGCCATGACCTCACGCCAGGATGCCATGATGATATGCCATGCCATGCACAAACTAGACACACTCACTTCATGCGATTAACAGGGCTGGATAAAGCTAGCGGAAGGGAGAGTCGTGAGGAGGGTGGGTGGAGAGAGGCGCGGAGCGAACAGAGTGTGCGAGTGGGAAGTGCGAGAGGGTGACGGAGCAGAGGGGGAGAGGGTGGGAGGGTGAGGGCGAGAGCTCGTGAGGGCGTGAAAGGGTGAGCGGGTTGAGGGTATGTGGACGATGCGAGGAGGGGGTGAAAAGAGGAGGGGGTGAGGAAGTGGTGGGGAGGGGGTAAAGACGGTATGAGGACGGGATAAGGAGGAGGTGAGTGGTTGAAGGTGTGAAGGGCTGAAAAGGAGAATCCAAGAAACAAAGATGCACAGCAACAATTGGCACAAGCAAAGCACAGCTAGTCATACATGTGGATGGCAAAGCCCGTCTTATCTGCGGCGCCGCCACTCCCGCACACGGTAACCAGCCCCTGCACCCAGTCCACCTGCCGAACCTCCAGGCCCGGCACAGGCATGGCGCGCCAGCGCAGCTGGTTCGGTGTTGCCTCGCTTGCAGAGCTGCCGGCAGAAAAGTCGCTCACGAGAAGGGGGTTGCTGCGGTGCGGTGGGCACGGGGTGAACGGCTGGTGGGTAACGGACGGTTTAATGCGGTACAACCAGCTGCGGATGGGGGTGGGAGTGGGGGTAGGGGGAAGGGGAGAGTGGGGAAGGGAGTAATCAGATATCTTATTGTGTGCAGTGGAGTGAGGGCCACGGCACGATTCAGGGGTTGCTGCGGTGCCGAGGGTACGGGGTGAACGGCTGGTGGGTAAGGGACGGTTTAATGCGGTACAACCAGCTGGGGATGGGGGGTTGGAGTGGGGGAAGGGGGAAGAAGAGAGTGGGGAAGAGTGTGGGAGAGAGAATCTTATCGTGTGCAGTGGAGTGAAGGCCATGGCATGATTGGGGGTTGCTGCAGTGCGAAGGGCACGGGTTGGAGAGCTGGTGGGTCACTGAGGGCTTGATGCGATACAGCCAGCTGGGGAAGAGGGGGAGGGAGGGAGGAAGGTGGGTGGGAGATGGGGAAGGTTACAAGGAGGGAGTTGCTGCGGAGCGGAGGGCATGAGGTGAAGGGCTGGTGGGTCGCTGATGGCTTGATGCGATACAGCCAGCTGGGGGGGGGAGGGAAGGGAGGAAGGCGGTTGGGGGGCTGTCACAAGGAGGGGGTTGCTGCGGTGCTCCAGGCACAGGGTGAAGGGCGGGTGGGTCACTGAGGGCTTGATGCGATACAGCGGAGGAAGAGGGGGGAGGAAGGGGGGGGAAGGGGAAGAGGAGAGGGGAGAGAGTGTGGGGGGAAGTGAGAGGAGCTTGTGAGTATTGTGAAAGTTCTCCCTCATGCGATGAAAGGCTGGCGGGCCCTGGAGGGCTTGATACAGTACAGGCAGCTGTGGGGGGTGGGAAGGGGTGGAGAGGAGTGGGAGGTGGTAGGGGGGTCGGGGAGGGTAGGGGGAGGAAAGGGGGGAACGAAGGGGTGGGGTGAAGGGGGGAATTGAGAAGAGAAAAGAGGGAAGGGGGGGAGGGGAAGGGTAAGGGAGATTTGGGACATCTCAATAACCTTCCACACACGGTAGAGAGCTGGTGCGTCAAGGATGGCTTGACACGGTGCAGGCTTGATGCGGTGCAGGCTTGATGCGGTGCAGGCTTGATGCGGTGCAGGCTTGATGCGGTGCAGGCTTGATGCGGTGCAGGCTTGATGCGGTGCAGGCTTGATGCGGTGCAGGCTTGATGCGGTGCAGGCTTGATGCGGTGCAGGCTTGATGCGGTGCAGGCTTGATGCGGTTGAGGCTTGATGCGGTGCAGGCTTGATGCGGTGCAGGCTTGATGCGGTGCAGGCTTGATGCGGTGCAGGCGTGATGCGGTGCAGGCTTGATGCGGTGCAGGCTTGATGCGGTGCAGGCTTGATGCGGTGCAGGCTTGATGCGGTGCAGGCTTTGATGCGGTGCAGGCTTGATGCGGTGCAGGCTTGATGCGGTGCAGGCTGATGCGGTGCAGGCTTGATGCGGTGGCAGGCTTGATGCGGTGCAGGCTTGATGCGGTGCAGGCTTGATGCGGTGCAGGCTTGATGCGGTGCAGGCTTGATGCGGTGCAGGCTTGATGCGGTGCAGGCTTGATGCGGTGCAGGCTTGATGCGGTGCAGGCTTGATGCGGTGCAGGCTTGATGCGGTGCAGGCTTGATGCGGTGCAGGCTTGATGCGGTGCAGGCTTGATGCGGTGCAGGCTTGATGCGGTCAGGCTTGATGCGGTGCAGGCTTGATGCGTGCAGGCTTGATGCGGTGCAGGCTTGATGCGGTGCAGGCTTGATGCGGTGCAGGTCTTGATGCGGTGCAGGCTTGATGCGGTGCAGGCTTGATATGCGGTGGCAGGCTTGATGCGGTGCAGGCTTGAGGCGGTGCAGGCTTGATGCGGTGCAGGCTTGATGCGGTGCAGGCTTGATGCGGTGCAGGCTTGATGCGGTGCAGGCTTGATGCGGTGCAGGCTTGATAGCGGTGCAGGCTTGATGCGGTGCAGGCTTTGGATTGCGGTGCAGGCTTGATGCGGTGCAGGCTTGATGCGGTGCAGGCTTGATGCGGTGCAGGCTTGATGCGGTGCAGGCTTGATGCGGTGCAGGCTTGATGCGGTGCTCAGGCCTTGATGCGGTGCAGGCTTGATGCGGTGCAGGCTTGATGCGGTGCAGGCTTGATGCTGTGCAGGCTTGATGCGGTGCAGGCTTGATGCGGTGCAGGCTTGATGCGGTGCAGGCTTGATGCGGTGCAGGCTTGATGCGGTGCAGGCTTGATGCGGTGCAGGCTTGATGCGGTGCAGGCTTGATGCGGTGCAGGCTTGATGCGGTGCAGGCTTGATGCGGTGCAGGCTTGATGCGGTGCAGGCTTGATGCGGTGCAGGCTTGATGCGGTGCAGGCTTGATGCGGTGCAGGCTTGATGCGGTGCAGGCTTGATGCGGTGCAGGCTTGATGCGGTGCAGGCTTGATGCGGTGCAGGCTTGATGCGGTGCAGGCTTGATGCGGTGCAGGCTTGATGCGGTGCAGGCTTGATGCGGTGCAGGCTTGATGCGGTGCAGGCTTGATGCGTGCAGGCTTGATGCGGTGCAGGCTTGATGCGGTGCAGGCTTGATGCGGTGCAGGCTTGATGCGGTGCAGGCTTGATGCGGTGCAGGCTTGATGCGGTGCAGGCTTGATGCGGTGCAGGCTTGATGCGGTGGCAGGCTTGATGCGGTGCAGGCTTGATGCGGTGCAGGCTTGATGCGGTGCAGGCTTGATGCGGTGCAGGCTTGATGCGGTGCAGGCTTGATGCGGTGCAGGCTTGATGCGGTGCAGGCTTGATGCGGTGCAGGCTTGATGCGGTGCAGGCTTGATGCGGTGCAGGCTTGATGCGGTGCAGGCTTGATGCGGTGCAGGCTTGATGCGGTGCAGGCTTGATGCGGTGCAGGCTTGATGCGGTGCAGGCTTGATGCGGTGCAGGCTTGATGCGGTGCAGGCTTGATGCGGTGCAGGCTTGATGCGGTGCAGGCTTGATGCGGTGCAGGCTTGATGCGGTGCAGGCTTGATGCGGTGCAGGCTTGATGCGGTGCAGGCTTGATGCGGTGCAGGCTTGATGCGGTGCAGGCTTGATGCGGTGCAGGCTTGATGCGGTGCAGGCTTGATGCGGTGCAGGCTTGATGCGGTGCAGGCTTGATGCGGTGCAGGCTTGATGCGGTGCAGGCTTGATGCGGTGCAGGCTTGATGCGGTGCAGGCTTGATGCGGTGCAGGCTTGATGCGGTGCAGGCTTGATGCGGTGCAGGCTTGATGCGGTGCAGGCTTGATGCGGTGCAGGCTTGATGCGGTGCAGGCTTGATGCGGTGCAGGCTTGATGCGGTGCAGGCTTGATGCGGTGCAAGGCTTGATGCGGTGCAGGCTTGATGCGGTGCAGGCTTGATGCGGTGCAGGCTTGATGCGGTGGCAGGCTTGATGCGGTGCAGGCTTGATGCGGTGCAGGCTTGATGCGGTGGCAGGCTTGATGCGGTGCAGGCTTGATGCGGTGCAGGCTTGATGGCGGTGCAGGCTTGATGCGGTGCAGGCTTGATGCGGTGCAGGCTTGATGCGGTGCAGGCTTGATGCGGTGCAGGCTTGATGCGGTGCAGGCTTGATGCGGTGCAGGCTTGATGCGGTGCAGGCTTGATGCGGTGCGCTTGATGCGGTGCAGGCTTGATGCGGTGCAGGCTTGATGCGGTGCAGGCTTGATGCGGTGCAGCTTGATGCGGTGCAGGCTTGATGCGGTGCAAGGCTTGATGCGGTGCAGGCTTGATGCGGTGGCAGGCTTGATGCGGTGCAGGCTTGATGCGGTGCAGGCTTGATGCGGTGCAGGCTTGATGCGGTGCAGGCTTGATGCGGTGCAGGCTTGATGCGGTGCAGGCTTGATGCGGTGCAGGCTTGATGCGGTGCAGGCTTGATGCGGTGCAGGCTTGATGCGGTGCAGGCTTGATGCGGGTGCAGGCTTGATGCGGTGCAGGCTTGATGCGGTGCAGGCTTGATGCGGTGCAGGCTTGATGCGGTGCAGGCTTGATGCGGTGCAGGCTTGATGCGGTGCAGGCTTGATGCGGTGCAGGGCTTGATGCGGTGCAGGCTTGATGCGGTGGCAGGCTTGATGCGGTGCAGGCTTGATGCGGTGCAGGCTTGATGCGGTGCAGGCTTGATGCGGTGCAGGCTTGATGCGGTGCAGGCTTGATGCGGTGCAGGCTTGATGCGGTGCAGGCTTGATGCGGTGCAGGCTTGATGCGGTGCAGGCTTGATGCGGTGCAGGCTTGATGCGGTGCAGGCTTGATGCGGTGCAGGCTTGATGCGGTGCAGGCTTGATGCGGTGCAGGCTTGATGCGGTGCAGGCTTGATGCGGTGCAGGCTTGATGCGGTGCAGGCTTGATGCGGTGCAGGCTTGATGCGGTGCAGGCTTGATGCGGTGCAGGGCTTGATGCGGTGCAGGCTTGATGCGGTGCAGGCTTGATGCGGTGCAGGCTTGATGCGGTGCAGGCTTGATGCGGTGCAGGCTGATGCGGTGCAGGCTTGATGCGGTGCAGGCTTGATGCGGTGCAGGCTTGATGCGGTGCAGGCTTGATGCGGTGCAGGCTTGATGCGGTGCAGGCTTGATGCGGTGCAGGCTTGATGCGGTGCAGGCTTGATGCGGTGCAGCTTGATGCGTGCAGGCTTGATGCGGTGCAGGCTTGATGCGGTGCAGGCTTGATGCGGTGGGCAGGCCTTGATGCGGTGCAGGCTTGATGCGGTGCAGGCTTGATGCGGTGCAGGCTTGATGCGGTGCAGGCTTGATGCGGGCAGGCTTGATGCGGTGCAGGCTTGATGCGGTGGCAGGCTTGATGCGGTGCAGGCTTGATGCGGTGCAGGCTTGATGCGGTGCAGGCTTGATGCGGTGCAGGCTTGATGCGGTGCAGGCTTGATGCGGTGCAGGCTTGATGCGGTGCAGGCTTGATGCGGTGCAGGCTTGATGCGGTGCAGGCTTGATGCGGTGCAGGCTTGATGCGGTGCAGGCTTGATGCGGTGCAGGCTTGATGCGGTGCAGGCTTGATGCGGTGCAGGCTTGATGCGGTGCAGGCTTGATGCGGTGCAGGCTTGATGCGGTGCAGGCTTGATGCGGT